TTCCATCACCCTCTCCCCTCTCCTTTCCACTCTTGCTCTCATTCTCACTCTAATTACATACACATACACACAAAATACATTAAAACAAATGCACAAAATATTGCACAATATTAAACCAGTCCTTACCCCCCAAAAGTCATCCCATTTCTCAAGCAAAAAGTAATGCCTATTTCTTAAAAGAAGAAAAAAAGATATCTAAATTATACAAATGAAAATGTCAGTAAGAATTTTTTGATTGGCTTGCATGAGAAGTTGAAATTATGACTTTTTTGCATGATAATGCACAGGTCATGTCTAATAGCAACTAGAGCTGAAAACCCAGATTTACAAAGTGTGATAAAACACAGAATCAGGATTCTTAAATCCCATTTTCTAGACAAGCATAGATCTGTGTCAAGGAACATCTGAATTTTCCAAGATTCTGCAAGTTAAATAACTATGAAGTCATTTCCCTCTTAGTAAATATGGCCAACTTTGAAAGGGTTTATCTATTTCAGAAGAAAATGATTATAAACCCAAAATTCCATTTAATATCATCTGAACCAAGTAACTTATAAAAGAACATTTCAGGGCTTCTAGTGGTCTCCAGGCTTTTACCATCAGAGAAATTGACAAGGCTTAGTTGTTCTCATTTCTGAACCACAGAAACTCTTTTTCTAATACCAGAAAGTTTGTCAAGTTGTCTGCCTCAAAACTTCTTTTTCAGAATAATAACTTGAGAATGGCTTCTCCTTCAAAAACAATGAAACAACTGCACAAATTTCAATCAACTCCTTTGACTTGTTTTCTGATTTCTATGTGATCTAGGGTTAAACAAAAGCCTTTTGGATAAAACATCAAAAACACAATCTATAAAATAAATAATTGTAGACTAGACTTCCTCAGAAGTATGAACTTACACTTTTTGAAAGACATTCCTCAAAAAATGAAAAGACAAGTCATATACTAGAAGAATGTATTTACTAATCATATCCAGGAAAGGACTCATATTCAGAATATATACTTTCAAAATGCAATAAGAATACAAACATATTTTTAATGGGCAGAAGATATATAGATAGCAAATAAGCACATGAAAATATGTTTAAAATCATTGGATCATTCAGGAAATATAAATTAAGACTACAATGAGATAATACCATACATCTATTAGAATGACTACAATTTTTAAAGGCTCACCAATTCCGGGATTGGCAAGGATAAGGAGCAACTAGGACTCTCATATACTGCTCATGGCAATGTAAAATAATTTAGCTGCTTTGGAAGCACAGTTTAGCAGTTTCTAAAAAATTTAAATATATATCTACCATATGACCCAATCATTCTACCACCAAGTATTTACCCAAGATAAATGAAAGCATATCACCACACAAAGACATACAAATGAGTGTTTATACCAGCTTCATTAGTAATAGCCCAAAACTGGAAACAACCCAAATGTCCACCATTAGTGAATGGATAAACAAATTCTGGTAAATCCATAAAAGTGAATACTACTTAGCAACAAAAAGAAATAAACTTCAGTGTATAAAATCATAGATTAATCTCAATATAATTATGCTGAATGAAAGAAATCAGACCAAAAAATGAGTACTTACTGCATGATCCCATTTATATAAAATTCTAGAAAATATAAACAATCTGTAGTGGCAGAAGCAGATTAGTGTTTACTTGGGGAGTGGTGACGGGGCTTGTGGAGAGAGAATGAGGACTTACAAAGAGGTAGGTAAAAGAGGTACTGGGTTTTCACAATACATAGGTCAAAATTTTCAAACTGTATACTTTAAATATTCTGATTATACCTCAATAAAACTATAAAATATGCAGATAATTTAAAACTCCACTGGTATAAACAATTATGATATACAACCATATCATCCAGCAAGCTCACTTCTGTGTATATATATTCAAAGGAAATAAAAGCACTATCTTAAAGAGATATGTGCACTCAGCATTCATCGCAGCATTATTCACAATGGCCATGAAATGGAAACAGCCTAAGTGCTCACCAACAGATGAACAAAGAAAATGTGGTATTTATGTAACTATATATAAACCCATCTGATAGACTTTGGGGCATGGAGGAAATGGGCAGATGTTTGTCAAAGGATACAAATTTTAGGTATAAGATGAAAAAGTTCTGGGAATCTAATATACAACATGGTGACTATAGTTAATAATACTATATTATATATTTGAAAGTTGCTGAGAGAGTACATCTTTTTTTTAAGATTTTTTTATTTATTTGACAAAGATCACAAGTAGGCAGAGAGGTAGGCAGAGAGAGAGGAGGAAGCAGGCTCCCCACGGAGCAGAGAGCCTGATGTGGGGCTCGATCCCAGGACCTTGAGATCATGACCTGAGACGAAGGCAGAGGCTTTAACCCACTGAGCCACCCAGGCACCCCGAGAGAGTAGATCTTAAGAGAATTTAGTGTTCTCATCACATACACACATGTAAAGTAGCTAGGTGAGGTGATAGATGTGTTATTTACTTGACTGTGGTAACCATTTCACAATGTGTATGTATACCAAATCATCATGTTGTATACCTTAAATATATACAATATACGCAATTTTATTTGTCAATTATATCTCAAGAAAGCTGGATGAAATAACAATTTGACATAAGCCATTTTCCTATGACATATGCATATCCTATGACCAAGCTTCTTCACTTCTAGGAATCTATCCTATAAAAATATTTACACAGATGTGCAAGAATTATGAATAAGAACATTCTTTGTAGCATTACTTGTTACAGCAAAAATTTTAGAGGTAATTTCACCATTAATCAACCTGAGACCAATTAAAATGTAACATTGTATGTTGGTCAACTTTCCATATAAATAAGTATAGGTCCATATTGCCTTTTTAAACGGCTGTGAGTTATTCTAAGGGATAGATCAAAAAACCAAAACAGGGCGCCTGGGTGGCTCAGTGGGTTAAGCCGCTGCCTTCAGCTCAGGTCATGATCTCAGGGCCCTGGGATCGAGTCCCGCGTCAGGCTCTCTGCTCAGCAGGGAGCCTGCTCCCTCCTCTCTCTCCGCCTGCCTCTCTGTCTACTTGTGATCTCTCTGTCAAACAAATAAATAAAATCTTAAAAAAAAAACACAAATTGTTCTGAAAAATAAGCTATATAACAAATAATCTATATAAATTATTTCTAATATTCTTACAGTTACAAGCATTGTTTTCTCTCCCAACAGACAAAAGATAGCTAAAACTGAAATTGCTATGTCAAAGAATGTGAAATTTTTAAGGTTTTTAGTAATATTGTTATTAGAAATCCAAGGCATGGAAAGTTGACTAACATATAATGCTAACAGAAAAAGGTAACAAAACTGTATACATATGAGTCCATGTATATTTTTAATTATGTGTTCATGCTTGTGTGTATACCACATTTATACACATACACACAAACACACACACTCACATGCTTAGGACAATCCTAGAAAAATATATGTAAAAATACCAAAGTTTGCCTTTATGTAGTGGGATTACACATAAGTTTTACTTTCTTCTTTATAGTCTCCTTACTTTCTTCTTTATATTCTTCTAGAGAATGAAGTTATTTCCACTTTGAATAATTATTTTAATATAAATCTCCAAAAAAATCACCAAGAAAATTAACATATGGATAAATAAACATGTCAGAAAAAAGTAGAGCTGCTTCTTAACTCTTCTAAAAGTTTTATTTATATCATTTTATTTTTATACCTTCTGAAAGCTGTCTACAGTAGACACTCAAAAAATGATGGGATGATTTGGATAGCTGGACAGATTGGATACATACGCACTATTGCAACTTTTCAATTCAATACTACTAGATTGCTTAGTACCATTCTATGGGTGGTCCATACCTCTCATAGGATTTTCCATCCACAAATCTTTTATAATGATAAATCCACATCTTATATTTGAACAGCTTGGTGCTTTCAACCTTAGAGTATTACTTTTCATTTATGTATACTGAATTTATTTTATTTCTGGCCACCCCTTCAACTTATCTATTCCATTTTTATTCTAAGCTTGTCTCTCCTCCCTAACAAGCTTAGAATGGTCTGTAAATGTAATCAATTCTCTATTATGTACTTCTTTGATTAAAGTACTGGACACTGACTACAAAAGAAAAATTACTTTTCTAGGTGATTTTAAATGAAATTATTCAGTTTTTGATTTGCATTTCCTTGGCTACTAATGATAGAACATATTTTTATATGACAATTGGCTATATATATTTTCTTTTATGTGAAATACTTGTCCATGTATCTTACCCATTTTTCTATTCTATTACTGATTTGTATGAGTTCTTTACACATTCTATAAACTAATCCTTTGCCAGTTCTGTGAGTTGCAATTATTTCCAAGTTTGTAACTTATCTTTTTACTTTAAGGTGTCTTTTGATAAATAAAACTTCTTAATTTTAAAATTTTTTTTAATTTTTTTTTAAAGATTTTATTTATTTGTCAGAGAGAGAGAGAGAGAGCGAACAAGCACAGGCAGACAGAATGGCAGGCAGAGGCAGAGGGAGAAGCAGGCTCCCTGCCGAGCAAGGAGCCCGATGCGGGACTCGATCCCAGGACGCTGGGATCATGACCTGAGCCGAAGGCAGCTGCTTAACCAACTGAGCCACCCAGGCGTCCAAAACTTCTTAATTTTAATATAAATATATTAATCTGTTCTCTTATACTCAAACATTTTGCCTTAAGAAATTTTCCCTATCCCATCCCTATCCTATGCAATTAGCAAAAATTAAGAGTCTAAAAATAACAAACATTGATGAAAGTATGTCATAATCTAATGCAATAATTAACAATCCAATCATGTACCTGAGGCTCAACTTTCAATCTCATTACCATAAATGTGCAAAAGAAGTTTTTATAAAAACATATTATAAAGCTTAGGTTTCTTATAATTTGCAATTAATCTGACCAACATATCATTTATATCTATGTTTACAGACTCTAAAGTAATAATTAAAACATAAAACTTACCATCGATATCAATAGTCTTTAGAGCTTTTTGCATTTCTGAGTCACTTATAAATATCTTCAACGTGTGATGGATCGTTGGCAGATCATTCACATAAATCTTACCACTCTGGATTTTGCTGAAAATTTTACAGGCCTTCTGAAGTGCTAAACACAAACCCCCAAAACAGTTAATTAATTCAAATGAATAATTATCCTTATCCCTGCGACACCCTCACTCAAGGAAAAACAACAACAATAATCACCAAAAGAAGAAAGGGAGCAAATCTTTGTGTTCTAACCCTTTGCTTTAAAATGGATCTTGTGACTTTTTTAGGTCTGTCTCGGTGAATGGCCTCCAAATCTGTAAGTTTCCTAAAGAACCCTCAGAAACTATAAGAAAGTCATGCAAAATTGACATCATAAGGGCTCCCACAACTTTATCTGGGAATGTTAAATCCCTCTTCCATGCTCCTATATCACTTGGTATGGATCTCAGTCAAAGCTCTTGGTATTGTGACTGTTTGCATGTTAATACCCCTCACTAAACTGTCAACTTCTAGGGGGCAAGATTTTTCATTCTTCAAGTGCCAGTGTCTAACTCAGGATAGATCCTCAAAAAATGTCTGTTGAGTTGAATTTAGTTCAATGGATACAACACGTAATATTCAGAAAAAGAGATGCAAGATGACAGTGCTAAATACCAGAGAAAGACTAAAACATTGATAATACTGACTTTAATAATAGTTTTAATAGGGTATTGGAGATGGAAACCAGGTATAAGTGAAATGGGAAGTAAATATGTAATTAAGGAAAACAACTCTTTGAAGAAGCTTCTTGGAAAAGCAGAGTATAAAGTTGACATAGTCCTGGGGCACATGGGTGGCTCAACTGATTAAGCATCGACTTGGTTTCCACTTAGGTCATGATCTCAGGGTTGTGAGACATAGCCCCGAATCAGCTCCAAGCTCAGTGTGGAGTCTACTTGAGATTCTTTCTCTCTCTCCTTCTGCTTTTGTCCCTCCCCCTGCTCTTTCTCTCTCTCTCTCAAATAAATAAGTAAATCTTTTTAAAAAATTGACATAGTCCCTGAGGAAGTAGAAAAAAATTGAATGAAAGAAAACCAAGAAGTGAAAGGGTATTTTCTCCAATGAGAAAATAGGGAAGGTCATGGATTTTTACAATCCTAAGAGTTCTCCCCACAAGGGAAATGTTTTCCTTTTTTCTGTATCTATATGAGATGATAGATATTAACTAAACTATTGTGGTAATCATTTCACAATATATGTAAGTCAGGTCAATATGCTGCACACCTTAAACATATACAGTGCTTCACCTTAATTATATCCCAATAAAAATGGGAGATAAAAGATGCCTAATACAGGGGTGCCTGGCTGGCTCAGTTATAAGAGCATGCAACTCCTGATCCTGAGGTTGTGAGTCTGAGCCCCATATTGGGCATAGAGATTACTTTTTAAAAAAGGCCTAATATGATGACCAGAGTTAAGGTAAGAGGGAAAATATGCCAAATGACTCCATAAATATAGAGGAGAGACCCAAGATACGGAAGAATTCAGTGTCAAAAAGTGAAGGGTACTATGATTCTTAATATTAAGATACCAAGGACTAAATCCCAGTAAAATCAGTGACTCCAATGCTCACTAATACATTCATTGGATGTAATATCCAGACTTTTTTCCCAAATAATTTGAACTAGAATAAGTACATAAGTTATATTTTGCCTATCTCATCAATACGACAGAAGATATTCATGAATACTTAATATACTTATGCCTTGCTCACAGGCTACAGCATTTGCCATATCATGTAATATTAATTGATATTATATGCCATTAGGAGTAAAGAAAGAGATAGTAACCACTGAAACAATTTCTATTAAGCACACAATCAGGAAATTAATTCAAGAAATTCTAGAAACTATTATTACCACTTAATTCTTGTGAGTATAAGTTTCTTTGAGGTTCTTCATTATATAATGTCTTGTAGAGTCTAGAAATCATTTCCCTTTTCCTGTCAAAGAAACAGCCACATTAGAAAGCAGCACAAAAACAAAGCAAAACAGCACGTGCATGCGTGCACACACACCACACACACAATATTTATGCCATTTTTCCATTAAAATATTAATAAACCTATCAATGGTTTGAGAGTCTCCAGTGTCTTACTCCATAAAAACCTTTCTTAAAGAACTTTCTAAGTGATAGTGAATTATATATTCTTCATCCCAGAATACCCCCCTTGCTTCTTTTAGGTGCTCTCTGGAGCAAAATTTACCCTAGTCAGTGAGTAGTGCCCACCACCCACAATCATTTGGCTGTTACTCTTAATTCAAGTCACAGCAAATTTTCAGAGTTATTATAGTAAGGAAAAACAGGAATATCTTTAAATAGCAAAGAATCCCAGATTCCACAACTTGTCAGTAAAAACATTTTGAAAAGGTGATTTATCTAATTCCATAATGTATAAATAACTGAAATCATAAAATGTTAGTGTTAGAAGAAATCTCAAGGGTCCATCTAGTACAAGAATCTTGCACAGATGTGAAGACTGAGGCCCAGGGATATAAAGTAAGTTGTACAAGAAGCCTAAGCTAGCATGTGAGGTCAATAAGGACTCAAGTCCAAGCCTCTCATTTCCATATACAGTAGGCTCAGCTCTACATCACCCTTCCTAAAGCATAGTCTTAGTTTGCACAAACTATTTTGCAGTATGCAAAATATGTGGAAAGGATAGATGATTCCAAAAAAGAAAAAAAAAAAACAAGTCTGAGTGCAATATTTAGGGTAAAAAAATACAGTGACTTAAATACCGAATAATTGAGGAAGATGTACAAAGGGGTGGTAAAATCTTCTGAACGCTGTACTGATTCGGCAACTTGAATAAAGAGTTTTCTTTCCTAGTCATCTTCTCCTTTGACAGCTTCACTGAGGAAGAGGCAATCTAGAGCCAAATACAAGAATGTTGATGCCTGAGATCACAGACCTCTTAAAATTAGGCACCTCATATCATATCTAAGCTCCTCATTGATGTAAAATTGCTTTTCATAAGGAAATTAGTTTACATATACTAAAATTTGAAATAAACTATACAATATTTTTTTGCAAAGCCACATTTTTCTAAGCATGCAACTAAATCATCTCCTAATTAATATTAATATTCTGTTTATAATAACTGATTTTACAAAGCACGGCAAATCTATGGTACAGTAAAGACAAGACCACCAAATTCTAGACTACACATATAGGCTCTGACTATATGAGCAAAAGAGTTATTTAAATAATACAGGTAGTGGGATGCCTGGGTGGCTCAGTTGGTTAAGCATCTGTCTTTGGCTCAGGTCATAATCCCCTGGGGTCCTGGGATCAAATCCCACATCAGGCTCCTTGCTCAGCAGGGAGCCTGTTTCTCCCTCTGCCTGCAGCTCCCCTTGCTTTTGCTCTCTCTCTCACACACAAATAACAAAATCTTAAAAAAAAAAAAAAACCACCACCACCAAATAACATAGGTAGTTATGCTTTTTTTTAAAAGACTTTTATTTATTTATTTGACAGACAGACATCACAAATAGGCAGAGAGGCAGGCAGAGAGAGAGGAGGGAAGCAGCATCCCCACTGAGCAGAGATTCCCACTCCCACCCCAATGCAGGGCTCAACCCCAGGACCCTGAGATCATGACCTGAGCCAAAGGCAGAGGCTTAACCCACTGAGCCAGCCAGGCACTGGGTAGTTATGCTTTAAATTATCCTTATGATTGAGAAAATGATCCACTTAACATATACGTATAAACAAGATTCAGAAGTGGCAAGTAGCTAGATAGATAGAAAAGCGTCATTTTAGAAAATGAGGACTATAATAGTAGGTGTCTTCAATTTTACATGGAATCTAGAGCCTTGTCTTTCTAAGACCATGCAGGATGTAGAAAGAAGACTCTGAAAACATATAAGATTGGTAAGAATTGGTACTGAGATCCCACATAGAGCCAAAATTTTCAAAAAGCAATGTTACCATCAAGAATAGGCTGGGGGGGAAATAGCAAAACAAAAATAAAAACAAAAACAAAAACAAAACAATTTATCCCAAACAGAAGTATGCAGAATAAAATCTGTCTTTGTCTCAGCTCTTGGCTGGAAAAAGAGAGAGAAAAGAGAGTACTCTTCTTGATTAGTTATAGCTACAGTATACCCACACATAAGTACAGAACTCAAATCTACACTAAACACATGGGCTAGGAAAATAGAAACCAAAAAATTCATTTAAAGTGGTTCCATGTTTGTAACACCTCTAAAGTGCAGGGCAGGAGTGAATTCAAATTCTCCTGGAGGAGAGTACTCTAAATCCAGAGTCATCATGAGATTCCCACAGATTTAGATCAAATATATAGTTTGATATATAGGATATAAGGATATAAGTTAATGAGTGAGAATTAGACAAAGCAATAAACAGCAGATTTAGATCCCCAAGGACTTTATTTTAGGTTTATCAGATATCAATCTTGAAACAACTATGGAACATGAACAAAGAAAATGACAGAAGGCAGATTTTAAAAAAATAATAAATAAAATTTCTAGAAGTAAAAAATATAAGCACTGAAATTAATATCTCAATAGACAGGTTAAACTGCAGATTAGATTCAGCTAGAGAAAGAAAAACTAGAAAACAGATGGGAGAAATTATCCAGACAAAAGAGAGTGTATCTAAGTACATCATATAGTGAATGTAGTAGATTGAATGGCAGCCCCACAAAAAGATATGCCCATATCCTAATCCTTGGAACCTATATGTGATTATTTGGTAAAAGGTCTTTGCAGATGGAACAAAGTCAAGGATCTCAAAATGAGATCTACAATGATGTGTTTATAAAAGTAGAACAGGACCTAGGATACAAACACAGGTGAGAAGACCATACACAGAGCAAGTTGGAGGCCAGGACTGAATTTATGCTGCCACAGCGAAGGAATGCCTAGGTCATTGTTATAACAGCGGAAGTATTAACACAGAGCACCTTTATTTCATAAAAATGAAAGTCTAATGGAGGAAAAGGGGGAAAAGGGTTCTTTGTTATATTAAAAAAAAAAGGAAGAAGAAGAAAAGGAGGAAAAGGGGGAGGATTGAAAGGGAGAAGAGGAAGAAGTGGAAGTATTTCAGATTGTGACATTTCAATACTTGAACTAAAATGATATGGAATGTATGAAAGCCAAAAGCAACACTCAAAAGTAAAATAAATATTTCCAGATCATTAATTTACCTCAGTCCTTTTAGTATGCAATTGTCCTTGTAAAGTTTTCTCTCTCTTGACATTTTCTTCTCCTGAAAAATCAGAGAATTTTTCTTCTCCACACAGGAATACTGATGTTGCATTCCTAAAATGCACATAAAAATGGAGTAATTCCTTTATTACTTTTTTTATTACTTTTTGTTTTTCATCTTTTATTTGCAGAACTTTTCAAACATATACAAAACTAGAGTAATGTGAGGATTTTCCCATGTACCCATCACCCAGCTTCAATAATGGGCAATCCTATTTCATCCAGATACTCCCATTTCTTATTATTTTGAAGCAAATTCCAACATTATATTATTTCATGTGAAAAAATTTTAGTATGAATTTCTAAAAGGTGTTCTTTTAAATATATTTGGAACACAATGATGACACCCCAAAAATTAACAATAATATCTTAATATTACCAAACACAGTCAATGTTCAAATCTCCAACTGTTTCATAAATATAAAAAATTTTTAACACTTTGCATCAGGATTCAATAAGGTCCCCATTACAGTTTGTTGATGTGTCTTTTAAATCTCCATTTATCTATAGGTTCTCCTACCATGTCTTTTATCATCATCAAGATCATCATTCCCAGGCAATTTGTCTTATAGATTTCCCAGTCTGGATTTTGCTGATTGTATTACCACGGTTGTAGGATTTTTTTTTTTTTAAAGATTTTTATTTGGGGCGCCTGGGTGGCTCAGTGGGTTAAGCTGCTGCCTTCGGCTCAGGTCATGATCTCAGGGTCCTGGGATCGAGTCCCGTATCGGGCTCTCTGCTCAGCAGGGAGCCTGCTTCCCTCTCTCTCTGCCTGCCTCTCTGCCTACTTGTGATCTCTGTCTGTCAAATAAATAAATAAAATCTTTTAAAAAAAATACAGATTTTTATTTATTTATTTGTCACAGAGAAAGAGAGAGAACGACTGCACAGACAGGGCGAGTGGCAGGCAGAGGGAGAAGCAGGCTCCCCACTGAGGAAGGAGCCCAGTGTGGGATCATGACCAGAGCCAAAGGCAGATATTTAACTGATGAAGCCACCCAGGCAACCCCGGTTGTAGGATTTTAAAGATTTAATAGGATTCACAGTTTTTATTTGTTTTTTTCAATAAAACCACCATACAGATGCTGGTGTTTTCCACTGGGAGGTATATAATGTACAAGTGGTTCTCTAATTGTGGTATTAGCTTCTATACTTATACATAGTAACTAGACTCAGTAAATCATCAGGGACTATAAAATATTTATACCTAAAACGATCATTCCTTCTTCACTCATTAGATATTTCTATAAAGAAAAACTTCCTCTTGGGTATTATTTGGTTACTCAGTGGTATAGTTCATATAGAAAGGTGGGATAATTACTTTATTCTTTTCCTTTATTTACCACTTTTCATAACAATGACTTGGGTTACTTGTATCCTCCATTAGTGACAAAATAATTTTTATACTATTTTGTACCCTTGGATTTACATACATTAAATTCATCTTACTTCCTTGTAATTATTACCCTTATTGACACCCTAATTGTCACATGTATGGTGGGAGTCTCTTTAAGCAGGCTCTTGAGTCCTTCTGATGTATCTCTGATAGGGGTCTTTGTTAGTTTCCTTATTTCTGTAGCACCAGATGCTCCAGGCTCATGTGTACATTTCCTTTCCCAGACATGCACTTCCTCTAGGGCACTGTGTGTCCCCAGGTGTTAACCTATTTTACACAGTTAATAAAATAAAGTAAAGGAACACTCTACCACCTCCCATTCCTTCCTTGCCTTTTGTCATCTAACACAAAGGAATAGTGAGAATCCCCATGAGACTATCAGCAGGTTTGTCAGCAGAAACCTGCAGGCCAGAAAGGAGTGGTATGATATATTCAAAGTGCTAGGGGAAAAAAACCCTGCCAACCAAGAATACACCACCTCACAAAGCTGTCCTTCAGAATGGAAAGACAGACGAAGAGTTTTAAAGACCAAAAAAAAAAAAAAAAAAAGGGAAAGGAGTTCATTACACTAGATTGGCTTTTTAAGAAAGAATGTGACTTTTGATCTCGGGGTTGTAAATTCAGCCCCACATTGGGCGTAGAGATTACTTAAAAATTAAAAAAAGAAATTTTTTTAAGTATATTACTAGAGAAAAATTACCAAATCACAAAGGAAGAGAGCAAGATAAAGGAACAAAGAAATTATAAAACAGCCAGAAAACAATCAAAATGACAATAGTAAGTCCACACCTATCAATAGTTACCTTAAATATAAATGGACTAAATTCTCCAATCAAAAGACATAGAGTGACTGAATAGATTAAAAGAAACAAAAAAAAAAAAAGACCCAAATACATGCTGTCCTCCAGAGGATCACTTCAGCTTTAAGGACAAGTATAGACTGAAAGAGAAGAGATAGAAAAATATATTCCATGCAAATGGAAACCAAAAGAGGGCAGGGGTAGCTATATTTACTTTAGACAAAATAAATTTTAATACATGTTTTTAAGTCAAAAACTGTAACAAAAAAGTCATTATGATAAAGGGATGAATTAATCAAAAGGACAAAGCAATTGTAATATTTATACATCCAACATAATAGCACTGAAATATATAAAACTAGTATTAATATATCTGAAGAGAGAAATAGACAGCAATGCAGCAATACTTAGAGACACTTCAATACCCCACTTTCAACAATGGATAGATCAACAAGACAGAAAGACAAAGGGAAACATTGGATTCCAACTACATCATCGACCAGATGGACCTATAGGAACAAACATATAGAGAATACTCTATCCAACAGCAGCAAAATACACATTCTTCTCAAGCATATATGCAACATTCTCTAGAATAGATCAATTGTTGGGCCACAAGTCTTTTTTTTTAAGATTTTATTTATTTGACAGACAGAGATCATAAATAGGCAGAAAGGCAGGCAGGGAGAGGAGGAGGAAGCAGGCTCCCTGCTGAGCAGAGACCCGATGGGGGGCTCAATCCCAGGACTCCGAGATCACCCACTGAGCCACCCAGGAACCCCCAAACAAGTCTTTAAAACCTTAAGAAGACTGAAATCATATCAAGCATCTTTTCTGACCACAAAGGTATAAAACAATAAGTTAATTACAAGAAAAAAAACTGGGAAAAAACACATATGTAGAGATTAAACATGTTCCTGAACAACAAATGGGTCAAAGAGAAAATCAAAAGAGAAATTAAAAAACATCTGGAGACAAAGTAAATGAAAACATGACATACCAAAACTTACTGGATGCAGCAAAAGCTGTTCTAAGAGAAACATTTATAAAGATAAATGCCTATCTAAGGAAAAAAGAAAGATCTCAAATAAACAGCCTAATTTTATACCTCAAGGAACTGGAAGAAAGAAAAAAATTAAGCCCAGAGTTAATTGAAGAAAGGAAATAACAAAGATTAGAGCCAAACAAGTGAAACTAAAAGGACAGTAGAAAAGATCAAAGTAGCTAAGAGCTTATTTTTTTAAAAGATAACCAAAATTAACAAATCTTACTAGACTAAGAAAAAAAGAGAAGACTCAAATAAATAAAATCAGAAAAAAGAGGAGACATTCAACTGATAACAGAAATACTAAACATCATAAGAAACTACTATGAATAATTATATGCCAACAAATTAGGTAACCTAGAAGAAATATATAAATTTCTAAGTTTCTAAAACCATGTAAGAATGAATCTTGAAGAAACAGAAAATCTGAAAAGACTAATTATTAGTAAGGAGATAGAATCAGTATCTATCTCCTAACAAAGAAAAGTCCAGGATGGCTTCACTGGTGAATTCTACTAAATATTTAAAGAATTAATGCCAAATCTTCTCAAACTCTTCCCAAAAATTGAAGAGGAAAGAACACTTCCAAACTCATTTTATGAAGCCAGCATAAGCCTCAGCACAGCAAAGCCAGAAAAGGACACAACAAGAAAAGAAAACTACAGCCCAATATCCCTGATAAACATAGATGCAAAAATTCTCAACAAAATACTGGCAAACCAAATAAACATTACATTAATGATCTAGTGGGATTTATTTCTGGGATTCAAGTATGGTTCAACATAGGCTAATTAGTAAATGTGATACAGCACAGTATAGGGAAAACCCATTCCTCTGTTTCTCCTTTACTCTCACATTACTACCATACTCACAACACTTCTGACACTAGATGTGTGAGGTACCCCCCATCCCATGAAGCAATTCTCTGCCACACCAGCTGGGTGTCCTACAAATTAACTCCATTCTGACACTATCTACCTGAATACACTGTCAGATTCCACAGGTTAAGGGCTCAGTCCCACAAGACTGCCCCCAACCTACTTGTGGAGTCACAACTCTGACTGATAAATTATAAATCAGAGATTCCTACTACAAGGCCTTCCTTGGATTTGATTACTTTTCCAGAAGAGCTCACAGAACTCAGAAAATTAGTTACTTATGTTAACAAGTTTATTTTTCATATATGATAGAAGATCCAGATAAAGTCAGATGAAGAGACACATATGGCAAAATCTGGGAGGATCTCAGCATAGGAGCTTCTATTCTTCTGGAGTTAGAATACATCGCCCTCCTGGTATGTGGATGTTTACACCAACAAGGAAGATCTCTGAACCCCATACTGCCGAGATTTTTATGGAGGCTTCCTCATGTAGGCACGATCAATTATTAATTCCATTTCCAGCTCTTCTCCCCTCTCTGGAGAGATTCTGGGTTGGTGAACACATCCACAAACTGGGAGGGTGACACACCCCAACTCCAAGAGGACAGAAGCTCCTGTGCTTGGGACGCTCCCAAATCTCACTTTGTATATATCTTCATCTGGCTATTCACCTGTATACTCTGTCATATCCTTTACTAAACTGGTAAACATGAGTGTTTCCCTGAGTTCTGTGAGATGTTCTAGCAATTAATTAAACTCAAAGAAGGGTCATGGGAACCTCTGATTTGTATCTAAATCCAACAAAAGTTATGGGGAAATTGGGAACTTACTACTTGAGATTGGCATACAAAGTGCATGTGGGGGAGGCAGTCTCATGTGACTGAGCCAACTAACTCTAGGTAGATAGTATTAGAATTGAGTTAAATTGCAGGACATCCAACTGGTGTCACAGAATAGCTTGGTGTAGGATACCACACACATCTGGGTGTCAGAAGTGTTATGAATATGGTGGTAGTATGATAGTAAAGGAGAAACATAGGAGAACGGAGGTTTTTCCAAATAACCACATTAACAAAATGAAGGATAAAAATCATATGATCATCTCAAAAGATACAGAAAAAACACTGATAAAGTTCCATTTTCTTTCATGATAAGAGATCCCAGCAAAGTGGGTATAGAAGGAATACACATCAACACAATAAAGAATATATATGACAAGCCAGAGCTAATATGATACTAAACAGTCAAAAACTTAAAGCTTTCCCTGTAAGATCAGGAACAAAAGAAGAGTGCCCACGCTCACCACTTTTCTTCAACATAGTATTGAAATCCTAGCCAGAGCAATTAGGCAAGAAAAAGAAATAAAGGCATTCAAATGGAAAGGAAGAAGTTAAACTGTCTCTATTTCCAAATGATATGATCTTTTATATAGAAAACCTTAAAGACTCTATCAAAAAACTGTTAGAAATGGGGCTCCTGGGTGGCTCAGTCGTTAAGCATCTGCCTTTGGCATGGGTCATGATCCTGGAGTCCTGGGATAGAGCCCTGCATCAGGTTCCCTTGCTCAGCAGGAAGTCTGCTTCTCCCTCTACTACTCCCCCTGCCTGTGTTCCCTCTCTCACTGTCACTCTTTCTGTCAAATAAATAAACAAAATCTTTAAAAAAAAAAAAACCTGTTAGAACTAATAAATAAATTCAGTAAAGTTGCAGGATACAAAATCAATATACAAAAATCAGTTGCAGAAATTTCTATAAACTAACAACAAATCATCAGAAATAGAAATTAAGATAACAATCCCATTTACAATATCATCAGAAACTAAAATACTTAGAAATAGATTTAACCAAGGAGGTGAAAGATCTGGACACTGAAAACTATAAAATATTAATTAAAAAAATGAAGAAGACACAAATTAAGTGGCAGTATATTCTGTGTTTGTGTATTGGAAGAATTAATATTGTTAAAATGTCCATACTACCCAAAGTAATCTATAGAATCAGTGCAATTCCTATCCAAATTCCAGTGGCATTTTTCACAGAAATAGAACAAATATTTCTAAAATTTGTATAGAACCACAGAAGACCTCAAAGAACCAAAGCAATCTTGAGATAGAACATAGGCAGTAAACTCTTTGACATTGGTCTTACCAATAATTTTTTGGATTTGATACCAAAAGCAAAGGCAACAAAAGCAAAAATAAACAAATGTGATAATATCAAACTAAGAAAGTTTTGCACAGCAAAGGAAACCATTGACAAAATGAAAAGGCAACCCATGGAATGAAAGAAAATATTTGCAAAACCACATATCTGATTAATTAATATTCAAAATACACAAGGAATTCATGCAACTCAATAGCAAATAAACAAATAATCCACTTTAAAAAGTACCTGAATAGACACTTTTCCAAAAAAGATACACAAATGGCCAGCAGGTACATGAAAAGGTGCTCAACATCACTCATCAAGAAAATGTAAATCAAAACCACAATGAGATATCACCTCACACCTGTTAGGATGGCTATTTTCAAGAAAAAACAAGTATTGGTAAGCTTGTGGAAAAAAGGAAGTACCTATTTACTGCTGGGGGGGATGTAAATTGGTGCAGCAACTATGAAAAACTGTTGAGTTTCCTCAAAAAATTTAAAATGTAACTACGATATGATCCAGCAACTCCACTTCTGGGTATATGTCCAAAAGCAATGAAAACAGGATCTCAAAGAGATACTACACCCCCATGTTCACTGCAGCATTATTCATAATAGCCAAAATACGGAAACAATCTAAATGTCCATCAACAAATAAATGGTTAAAGATGTTATATCACTCTCCCTCTCACACACACATACACACAAAAACTGGAATCTACCCAGCCATGAGAAATAAGGTAATCCTGCCATTTGTGACAACATGGATGGACCTGAGGGCATTATGTAAAGTAAAATAAGTCAGAAAGAGAAAGGCAAATACTGGATGATCTATTACATGTGGAGTCTATTAAAAGCCAAATTCAGGGGCACCTGGGTGGCTCAGTCAGTTAAGCCCCTGCCTTCAGCTCAGGTCATGATCCCAGGGTCGTGGGATGGAGTCCTGGTATTGAGTCCAGCACTGGGCTACCAGATGCTCAGCAGGGAGCCTCTTTCTCCCTCTCCTGCTGCCCCTCCCCCTTGCTCATGCTCTCTTGCTCATGCTCTCTCTCTCAAATCTTTTTTTTTTTAAAAGCCAAATTCACAGAAACAGAGAGTAGAATGGTGGTTTCCAGGGGTTATGGGTATGGTAAATAAAAATAGGGAGAGGCTGGTAAAAGGTTATAAAACTTCAGCTAAAAGATAAATAAGGTCTGTGGGTCTAATGTATAACATGATGACTATAATTGATGATACTGTATTACATAATTGAAATTTGCTAAGAGAGGAGAACTTAAATGTTTTCACCAAAAAATAAATAAGTAAATGAGGTAAATATGTGAAATGAGTAAAAAGTGTCAATCATTTCCCAATGTAAACATATGTTATCACACTGTACATTTAAATATATTACTTAAAGACAAATTAACAGACATATGGATAATTTCTCTCCTATAACTGGAAATCTATGATGGCTTATACATTTCCACAAAGTTGTGAGAGAAGTGAGAAAAAATGAAGATATTGGCTATCTAGGAATTAAAACTATACTTCTGAAAGAATAGCCACAAATATGCATGATCCTCTACATTTTAATACATTAGGAGAACTTATGAGCTACATTTTTTATTCTCTTAAACTTACAGAAGTATAATTCAACTAATTTCAAAGTTTAACTTACATTTTTTTGTGTTCTAGTCTCAAATCCCTAATTTCATGCGAAATTCTCTTCTGCGTTGCTTTAGAAAACTTGACGTCTTTCTTGTTATCAGTATGTCTTGATGACACGTTGGCTGCAAATGAATTACAGCCATGATCTGATAAACTGATATTTTCTTCTGCCTGGGGAGCAACCAAGATCCATAGTCAACTATGTTCTCTTTCCACATATAAATTAAATATGACATTCTGGGTAAAATCATTCATTGTAGATCAATATTTTCTCTAAAATGATGCTACCAAACAGAATTTAATTAAAAAGGATTTAATTATTAGTGCATTAGTCCAGATTAGGTACATATTCTAAATGCCACCAACTATCTTCAGTGCATTATGCAGCTATAAAATGCCCAGCATTCATGAATGTATTTAACGGTTGTTGAATCTAGTTTTTAAGGCATCTTTAAGCTTACTTCATTAAATTAAAAACTTCTGCTCCATTAAAGACTCTCAAGAGGGTAAGAGGACAAGGCACAGACAGAGAGTAAATATTTATAAAAGATATCCGATAATGGGCTGTATTTTTTTTGTATATTCAAAAATATACAAAGAACTCTTAACTCAATAATAAGAAAAAGCACAACCCAAATTAAAAATAGGCAAAAGATTGAGGCGCCTGGGTGGTTCCGTTGGTTATGCACTCAATTCTTGGTTTCAGCTCAGGTCATGATCTTTGGGTCATGAGACTGAGGCCCACAACAGGCTCCATCCTGGGCATGGAGCCTGCTTGGAATTCTCTCTCTTCATCTCCTTCTGCCCCTGTCCCCAGTGGCACATGCTCTCTCTCAAAAAAAAAAAAAAAAATGGGCAAAAGATCTTAAAAGCCTCCTTACCAAAGAAGATATACAGATATCAAATAAATACATGAAGAGATGCTTGGCATCATGTCATTAGGGAATTGCAAATTAAAACATCAAGATACCACTATACCTATTAGAATGGCCCAGATCCAAAATTCTGACAAAGCCAAATGCTGGCAGGGATGTGGAGCAAGAGGAGCTCTCATCCATTGCTGGTGGGAATGCAAAATGATACAAGCACTTAGAAAAACAGTCTCTTACAAAACTAAACATACTCTTACCAGATGTTGCAACAATTGCACTTACTGGTATTTACCCAAAGGAGTTGAAAACCTATATGCACACAAAAACCTGCACACAGATGTTCATAGCAGTCTTATTCCTAATTGCGAAAACTTGGAAAAAAACAAAATGCCCTTCGGTAGATGAATGGATAAATGAACTGTGGTACAGCTAGGAAATGGAACACTATTTGGTACTGAAAAGAAATGAGCTGTCAAACCACGAAAGGATGTGGAGGAACCTTAAATGCGTACCACTAAGTGAAAGAAGCCCAACTGTCAAGATGGCATGCTGTATGAGTCAAACTATATGACATTCTGAAAAGGCAAAACTACGTGGACTAGAAAGACCAGTGGTCGCCTGTGGTGAGGAGGGGTGGGGAAAGTTGAATAAGCAGAGCACAGAAGATACATAGGGCAGTGAAACTATTCTATATGATATTATAATAATGGCAATATGTCATTATTCATCTTTCCAAATTCATAGAATGCACAACACTGAGTCAATCCAATGTAAACTATGGACTTTGGGTGAAAATGATATGCCAGGGTAGGTTCACCGTAACAAAAGTAACACTGTGGTGTAGAATATTGATACTGGAGGAGGCTGGAAAAGCATAGGGGCAGGGGGCGTATGGGGGCTCTCGACTCAATTTTGCTGTGAATCTAAAACAGCTCAAAAAAATAACGTCTATTGAGAAAAAAAAAAGTAGCAGCTATATTACTTCTAAATAGATAGGCCCCCCCCCCAACAAAAAAGAAACTAGAGCCTAGAAGCAATGAACATGTTTAGAAAAAGAGGAATGAAGTTAGAAATAAACTCTTTTGAAATCTGGCTGTTTGCTTAAAACAACTGGAATGCAACTAGCTGATCAAAGGTCTATTAGTTTTTAACCCCTGAAAAATTAACACAGGAAATTTATGAAGCAGATCACCAAAGGAGTTTAGAGAACTTCTATTTCTGCATAAAATGGAAATGAAGGGAACTACTTCAGTGACTTATAGGGTCTGCATGTATTTGTCTTACAACAGAGGCACACCTTTAACAACTTGCTTCATAAAAAGGCAATCTGATTTGCTGCCTTAACAAGGTGTTTATTAGGAACGATAAAAAGTTTCCTAGAGGCATTCAGAAAAATGACTCAAAACAAAAACCAGGAAACTAAAAAGAGGAAGATCTAAAAAAGAGAGGCAAAAAACCTGTCATCAAAGACCAGATGAACAAAAGTGGTCAAATAGTGAACAGAAACTTTGATGATAGAGAAAATGAAACAACTTCTGAAACTCTATGGTTAATTAAAGATATAAGAAGTATAAACTATATAGCCTATGGAAGACAAACAGGTATGGTATGTTAATATTGTTAATTATTTTAATTTTAAGAATTCATCTTCAAAATCAGGTTATGAGGGCCCAATCAACAAAGAATTAGGTATAAAAAGGTGGAACAGGTTAATATGTATATCACAAATCTTGGTACTTAACAGGAAGCCTTGGGGGTTTTTTATTTTGTTCTGTTTTAGATTATAGTATAGATACATGTCTTACCTGGTGGCACCAAATCCATTAAAAGCATAAATTTAAAAGGGTAAGACTCCCACTGGACAGCACTGAGTTCTACCTGAGTCCTATGCTTCCAGAAAACAGTGAAAATTAAAGGAATCCCCTCACCCTTTTGTCTTCTGGAAAATGGCTTACTGCAAAGAACCCTTCCTCATATACTTTAGATAAAATTCACAGATGACCACCTTGTTTACCTATGACAAAGCCAAAATTCCCTTTCTTTCCTTCATGCATGATGAGTCAAAATGTTTAATCCCACTGACTAATCAGAACAAAATGCTTATGAGCCAAAATTGGTTAAGCTTCTCTTCTTCCTCCTGGCCCCTAAAATACTCTCTGATCTATTTATCCATCATGCCATTCTTTCATTCCACTTCCCCACATTCAGTTCTCCTAGTCTTGTTGACTCCTGTCTATTAAGGGGGAAAAAAAAAAAAAAGCTCTTTTTGCCTAGCCCTTGAGATGTTCACAGATCTTCTGGTCACAGCTTTCTCCCTGTTGTAATAGTCCCCCCTTCCTGCTATTTCAATAAATAGTCCCTTTTCCCTCTCACAATAATCCTTTTGAATAAAGTCTCTCCTTACTAAGTTCAGGTTTGTTTTTTGTTTGATACAATATTGGCCAATGGATAAGAGTACCCCCATGAATCACAGATAAGAAGGCTAGAGAAACTTGGTATCTTTTATATTACCGTCTGGATTCCCACATCATTAATTATGTCATCTACAACCTCTCATGTAGGTTTAAATCCTTTATTCTCCTGAAAAAATTATCCCAGTTCCTACCCCCCAAAATACTCTCATCATACACCTCAGATCTCTTGACACTACATAGATGGCTGGGATGAGAAGTTTCAGCATATGCCCATGAAAAGACCTGAGAAGTTACCTTAGTTGTTAAGCAAGATCTTCTAACTATATTGCTCTATGAATCTGCTTACTGGTTAAGGATGTGAGATAATGTAAAAAAAAATTTTAATGTAAACTAATTAAAAAAAAAAAAGAAGAGGAAGGAGTCTTTAGAAACTATTTCGAAAAAATACCTGGCAGAATAAAGGTACTTTAGTTTCCATTTTTCGGTTTAGCAGTAAATTCTGCCCTTGAGGACTCAATGGCCTTGATGAACAAGTATGAATGACCAATAGCACAAAAGGATTTCCTGTCCAAAAAAAAAGAAAGAAAAAATCATATGCCCGTTTAAGAGACTTAATTATATTTATCTACCTGAAGTTATCTTTGTATTGTAACACTATGTGTGCAAAAGCTAGAAAAAAAAACAGTTAGTATAACGTAATTCACAGGAGATCATCTAGTCCCTTAACTTTACCTTTTGTGGTATAAGAAGAAATAGAGAAATCCAAATTCGAATGACATAAAAAGCAGAAAAATCCAGTTATATTTATTTATTCAGATAAACCCAGAGAAGCAGAACTACTAACATGACAGCAATCACCAATGTTACTAAATGCTTACTGTGTACTAGACACTATGATAAATACTTTGACATAAATTATTTCATTTATTCCTCATAAATATCTCTTAAGGAATTACTATTACCCTTATTTTACAATGAGGAAAATAAAGACTTAGATCAAGTTGCACAAGATTACAGCCAACAAATAGTGGAGTCAGAATTTGAAGTTAGGCAGCCTAACTCAAGCCCCATGGTCTTTAGCACCCTGTAATATTGTTGCTCAAAAAAATGGTATTGCAAACAAAAGATGCCTTAGCTTGCTTGTTTTCAACCAAAGACTTCCACATCGCATACCAAGCATCTAGAAATTCCCCACATTTTCACATTTTTATACCCCCCATCTGAGTCACATTGGATGTGCTATTTATTACATTGCTAGTTATATTACACTGTTAGTTGCAATGACCTGTCATTTTCATACTGTGATATTTAATGGCAAGTATTAATATTCTAATAGAGACAGCACTTTAAAATCACTTATTTCTGAAAAGTTATCCTAATTACTATTGAATGTGATATGTCCAACATTCCTGGAATTCAAAACACATTAAAATAAAATGAAACCATGTGACAAATATCCATTTCAGAAGACATTAGATGGCTATGCAGATTTCCCCAGCAATCCATTGAATTAACCTCTTCTAGATCTTTTCTAGCCAGTTCAATCTTTACCTCTAGACTACTTGGTATAACACCGACTTCACCATTGTTACTATCTTCACTATTCAACTGGCATTAATCATTTGCCTTGTACTTTTATCACATATATCTTTTATATCAACTATAATCTAAATTTCATGAATGGACTGAAAGAAATGGATGGGTATCTTATCATTCTTTGGATTATTTTCACAATACCAAACACAATGCTATCTGTATATAATAAATGAAGGAAAGAAAGAAGTGAGGAAGAGAGGGAGAAGTGAAAGAAGGAAGACATTTCCTCTGTATGAAGTTACACAGAGTTTCTTAAGGTATCAAAGTACTTAATTTTTTTAAGATTTTATTTACTTATTTTTGAGAGAGAGAGAGAAAGAGAGAGCACCACAAGACAGAGTGAGGGGCAGAGGGAGAAGCCAACTCCCCACCCAAGCAGGGAGACTGATGGAGGACTCAACCCCACAGCCACAGGATCATGACCTTAAGTCAAAGGCAGATGCTTACCCAACAGAGCCAACTAGGCACCCCTCAAAGTACTTAAGTCAGCAGAGTAAGCTTTATTTAAATTACCCTGAAAGGAAGAATTGTTTCATAATTTATAGACCTATCAAAAAGTCAATATGTTTTAATCTGCTGGATGAATCAGATACCACACACCATATACCACAACCCTCTCCAATCTAAGAGAAAAAATAGTACAGGAAGTCTCTTCTCCATAAATTTGACAAGAGAATTGTTTCTCAACTCTCAACCTATGACACATATCTGAACTTGCAAGGACAAACCAAGAGAAATGAAGAGCTATACCCTTCCTTTTCCAATCATCTATCCATTCACCCCTCCATCCATGAAATTCATATAAATTTAATCCATATGAATTCAACATTTATATATTGTATGCCTACTATGTACTAGTAAGAGCTGTCCTCCTGGATCTGGTGATACAGCAGTAAAAATGGGAAGAAATAGATCCTGCCCTCATGGAGCTTACATTCTTGTCAAAGAGAGATGATAAAATCAGCAAATTAATAAAATATGTAGTATGTCTTCTGTGATAAGTATTAAAAGAAAAAATGTAAAGTAGGGGAGAAGAACATGAAGTATGATGTTTGGAAAAAGATGCAGGAACAGACAGGGTAGGCAAGGGAGACTTTACTGAGAGGGAGACTTTAATTATAGACCTGAAAGAATTAAAGTAGGAAGCCAATGAATATATTAGGGGAAAGCATTTCAGCCAGATAAAACCAAGTACAAAGACTCAGAAGTAAGAAGGAGCTTCACTGTTCAAGCAACAGTGGGTAGGCCCACAAAGCTGAAGCAGAGAAAGCGGAGTGAACGGAGGAGAGGAGAGCAGGGGGGATCAAGAGAGGGAGGCAGATATAGAGGGCCCCTAGATCATTTTAAGAACTTTGACTTGTGCTCTGAGGTGGGAAATCACTGGAGTGTTTTGAGCAGAGCTATGACATGATCTAAAGTCCTTTCTGAAAAAAATCACTCTACAAGAAGGAAAATCAAGTGAGTCTAGATTCCTAAAAGCCAAGTGAAAAAAAATTATTCAAAAGAAGAATGACTAATGAACTGTGACAAATACTGCCGTTAGGTCAAATAAATGAGCACTGAATGACTGATTAGGTTTTCCAACATGGAGGACACCAACAGTAGAAGCTATTTGGGTAGCATGGTAAGGAGATAATGTTCTTGGAGTGAGTTCAAGAGACAGTGAGGGAGATAAATAGGAGACAAACAGAAGAGATGATTATCTCAAGGAGTTAGGCTATAAACGGGAAGAGAAACAAGGTAGTAACTGAGGGGTAAAGGAGTTATGAGGGTTTAGGATGGGGGAAAATAAAGGCATGTTCATATGTGGGTGAGAATAATCCACTAGAGGAGCAAAAATTCATCACATGGAAGGGCAGAATTACTGAAACAATATTCTCAAGTAGGATAAAGGAGATGAGATTTAGGGCACAAGGGCAGGGTTTGTTCTTAGCTAAAAATATACTCATAGGAATAGATGTGGCAGAGTGATTGATTTAATAACATGAAGAGTAAATGTGGTTGTGGAAGTTTGTGAAAATCACCTTATTGCTTCAGTTTTCTTCTAAAATACATATATATATATATATATATTTTTTTTTTTTTGAAATCTTAAGTAGGCTCTATACCCAACATGGGGCTTGAACCTATGACCCTGTGATCAAGAGTCACATGCTCTACCAATTGAGACAAGCTGTGCCCCTGATTGCTTTAGTTTTCTTAGTGAAACAGGAAGCAACATAATCAACTGAGAATAAGGACATGAAAAGAGATGCTAGATGTTTGAGGACAGAGGTATTGTTATAAAACAGCCCTCCAGGAGAATGGAAGAATTAATAGCCCAGGGATACTTGATATGGTTGCTGGCCAGCATCAGGGCCCCTTGAGGAAGTGATCATGAATTTAAAGGGAAACCAGTAAGCATGGTTGTGTTTTTTCTCTAACTATGTTCAATGTAGAAATGCTTGCAGTGAGGCAGAGATCGAGATTTAATCTAGGATTACAATTTAGCCCAGAAAGTAAAATGAACTGAAAATGCAATAAAGGAACAGTGGGGGAGGGGAAATGCAAGGGAATGGTTTTAATTATTGACCATGAAACAAACTGAATAGGTAGGTGGGAAATAAGTAAAAAAAGAGGGTGAGTGACATTAAAAAAAAAAAAAAGTGGATTGAAGATCCTGGTGGGATCCAAGGATTATTAGAGTCAGAGTGAGCCTGAAAGATAAGAATGTGATAGTTGGAGAGTGGGACATACAGTACTCCCCCAACCCTTATCCATGAGGGATCCAATCCAAGATCCCCAGTAGAAGTCTGAAACTACAGAGTACCAAACCCAGTATATATTGTTTTACCTATACACATATCCCTATGATAAAGTTTAATTTATAAATAAGGCACAGTAAGAGATTAACAATACATAATAATAAAATAGATTATAACAATATAATAAAAGTTATGTGACTATTGTCACTCTCAAAATATCTTATTGTACTGTACTCACACTTCTGATGATGATGTGAGATAAAAAGTGATTAGATGAAGTGAAGTGAATGATGTAGGCATTGTGACATTGCATTACGCTACTACTGACCTTCTGATGATAGGTCAGGAAAATCTTCTGCTGAACCACAGTTGACCATGGGTAACTGAAACCGTGGAAATTGAAATAAGGAGGTACTAATAAGAATAAGGTGGGGGGACTACTGTATTAAGAGAACAGAGTTGCAATTATTGGTAATGCAAGATTGAGAATATGAAAAAGGGAGCAAGTGACTGAGGAAAGATTAAATTACTGTAGGAGGACAGGAATTGAGAGATCAGGATACTAGAAGGATCATCTGTATTATTGCTAAAGTCACAAGAATTATGACAGGAATACAGTTAGAGCAGGAGAAAGCCAGGAGCTGAAATTTGATTGAAGCAAAAGGAAATGGTAGTGGGTGGTATAATCTGATAATGTGAGATGCAAAACTGAGCATTTTGAGAATGAGATGAAAAAATGTCTGGAAGCACCTATTAGAATCAAGAAGGGGGGTCATCTATTTCCCCTCTTGTCCTAGTGGTACTAGGAGAGTGAGAGAGAAAACAGCCACTACCAGCCATACCTGTGTTCTGCCCACCACACTCCCAACTAAATACTTTTCTTCTTCATTTTTCCCTTAAATCTTGGCTGTCACCTGATCCATCAAAAACTATCAAAAAGAAGTGAGGAAATTCAAAACCCTCTGATACATCACAAGTATTTTTTAAAGTATCATATTGATTCAGTCCCTATGTAGATCAAGCTATCATATTCTTACTAAAGGGTTTTCCAATTCTTGGCAAAGTTATAATAGATATATGTTACAGTTAGGGGAGGAAGACATACAGATGGCCAAAGGAAACATGAAAAGATGCTAAACATCACTAATCTTAAGGGAAATGGAAATCAAACCCACAATAAGTTATCACCTCACCCCTGTCAGAATGCCTAAATTTAAAAACACAAGAAACAAGTGTTGACAAGGAAATGGAGAAAAAGGAATCCTTGTGCACTGGTTGGTGGGAGTGCAAACTGGCACAGCCACTGGGGAAAACAGTATGGAGGTATGTTAAAAGGTTAAAAATAGAAGTACCATATGGTCCAGTATCACACTACTAGATATTTACCCAAAGAATACAAAAATACTTTCAAAAAGATATATGCAGCCTTAGGTTTACTGCAGCATTATTTACATAGCCAAATTACAGAAGTGACCCAAGTGTCCATCAATAGATAAATGGATAAAGAAGATATATATATAGATATCTATATATCTATATATCTTAAGATATCTATATCTATATAGATATATATATCCACACACACAGGAAAATTACTCAGGCACAAGAAAAGAATGACATCTTGCCATTTGCAACAACATGGACAGAGCTAGAGAGTATAATGCTAAGTGAAGTAAGTCAGAGAAAGACAAATACCACATGACTTCACGCATCTGTGGAATTTAAGAAAGAAAGAAAATGAAAAAAGAAAAAAAGACAAACCAAAAAACAGACTCTTAACTGTAGAGAACTAATGGTTACCAGAGGAGAGGTGGCTGGGGCGATGAGTGACATAGGTGATGGGGATTAAGAGTACAATGAGTATGGAGTAATGTATAGAATTGTTGAGTCACTATAGTGTACACCTGAAACTAACACTGTATGTTCACTATATTGGAATTTAAATATATAAATAAACATATTTTAAAATAAAGTGAAGGGGGATTGTTTCTTGTTAGAATGAACTCTTCCTGCTCTTGCCTTCCACTGGCTTCCCTCACAAGCCACCCTCTCACTCATTCACTCCTCCCTTGCTATGCTGACTGCAAACGTCCATTAAAGCAACCACATAAATCTCTTCACCGCACCTGCAGCCCTTAAAGATCAAACATGACATGCATCACCCCAATCACCATCTTTAACAAATATTGAGTGAACTTCCACTTCATGCAAGAACCTGCGCCACGGAACATTCCAATAGGCCCTGCTTGTTCAGACTTCCAGGGAAGAAAGTAAGCAGACATGTAAACGAGTTAATCTACCCACCAGATGAAAACAGGTGCTCTAACACAGGTTCAAGTGTGTGCTGAAGGAGCCGGGCAGCTTCCCAACTACGATGACCTCCACCCTTCTAAAACCACCAACATTTCTGAGGCACTGTCAGACCCAACTCCGTCATCCCTCTGCCTCTGCCCCTTTACTGTCTGGCCCAGTCACCTCGCTTCCCCTTCTGGAATCTTCCTCCATCTCTGTAACTGTTCTACTTTGTCCCTCACGCCGTGCTGCACGCTCTTCCCTTAACCTCTGACGCTCTTCTCTCTCTCAGTAAGTCTTGCCTCCCACCTCTGTTCCCTGAGAGCCCCACCGTGGACCCCCTGGGGCCCCAGGTGTGTCTCCCTCTTCCCTCCTCACAGCGTGAGGCCCCCAGTCCTCCGGGATCATCAAGTCCTCGCCACAAGCCCCACAATGCCTCGCGCTGCCGCGCGCTCCCGCTCCGCCACCTTCCCGGGCTCCCACGCGGCGAAGCCCCGCCCCTAGGTCACCTGACTGAGACCGACGTTCCGCCCACCAGGCCCGGGGCGCGGGTGGAGTGCGGGACCCAGGCTTCCGCTGCTGCCGCTACCACCGCCACCGCCACGGCCCTGGGGCTCCGGAGGCCGCGGGGAGCGGCTGAGCTCGCCGCCGCCTCCGCGCCGACTGGGCAGCACTGCGGCCCCAGCGCCCTACCCCACCTCACAAGGGCCTGTGACCTCACCAGGCCGGGCTCGGTGGCGTGGACCCGAGTGGTGGGCTGCTCCCCGCGGGTTCTCCTCTGGGCACTTGATCTCGCCGTCCATCCTGCACTCCCTACCTTCCTGCTGCTCTCTCCATTCTCCGGTGCGCTGTCCCTGCCTAGTCTGACCACTGAAAAGACCACTTTTCAGTGTTCTCTTCTATCCATCATTTGAATATTTCCCGCCCTCGCTTGTAAAATACTCCATCCTTCTTGGTTTCCACAACTCTCTAACGGACTTCAGTGCAAAGACCCCTTGTTCCACTATCTTGCTGAAATTTGTTCCAAGCTGCCTTTCAGAGGACTAACACTTCCTTTGTTTTTCTTTCGAAAATTAACTTCTTGTGTGTGTGCCTCCTGCAGACCAAATGATATTGGTAAAAGACAAAGCAATTTTGAATGGCTTTCCCCGATTATTATGTCACTAAAACTTAGGAATCCAATTCGGTGAAATTAATCTTTCTAAGGTCTGTTATACTAAGGTTGTAAGTGTTCTGTCAAGCAAAGAATGTTTTCCAAATATTTTCTCCAAAAAGCCCACGATTTGAGGCATATTTTCTTTACATATAGGTAAATTCATTCACATTAATTGTGGATCTATTCAAATTCAATTATTCAGCCAATTATCCTAATTATTCGGCCAATTATCCTAATTATTTATGGTATGCAGTTTTGCAAACTTCTCAGTCTCTCTAAGCCTCAATTTTCTCATTCTTTCAGGATTGTGGTAATTCAAAAATGTATATGTGGTGCTCAATAAATGCTAAAACAATTCCTTCAGAGATAACTGATGTGCCTGCTTGTACCCTAAATCCTGATCTGTAGGCATTCTTTAGTGCTTTTAGCATGTATGTGGTTTATCTCCCTAAATAGTCTATAAATAATCTGAGTTCTGAGACCATGTCCTTTTTTTTTAAACACCCCACCCTCGGGGTGCCTGGGTGGCTCAGTGGGCTAAAGCCTCTGCCTTCAGCTCAGGTCATGATCCCAGGGTCCTGGGATGGAGCCCCACATCGGGCTCTCTGCTCAGCAGGGAGCCTGCTTCCTCCTCTCTCTCTGCCTGCCTCTCTGCCTACTTGTGATCTCTGTCTGTCAAATAAATAAATAAAATCTTTGAAAAAAAAAAAAAACACCCCACCCTCCATTCCCTACTTCCCCATCCCCCACACTGTTTACAGTCACCTCTATTAATGGACTCAGCCCATTTCTGACATATTCATAAAGTATCAACTTCTAAGGTGTAAGGATTATAATGGTTTTAGACTCTGTGTTGGTCAACAGATTGTGGATGCTTCACAAATGTTGAACACTTACAGTTTTTAGTACTGAATCTATGGACCAGTTAGTTTCTATATTAGTCAGTTACATAGACACCCCCTCCCCAATAGCATCGAGAGTATATGAGTCAGTATTAGATTCTTTTCCCAGTAACAGAAAATCCCTAAATAATAGTGGCCTAAGATAGAATTTTATTTCTCACATTCAGGAGATTCAGAGATAATCACTTGGGAGTCAGATAATTCTTTACCACAGTTGCAGGCACAGCCATCTTGTATTTTATTGATCCGCTGGCTTTCATTCCAGTGGCAGCTTCAGGGAGGTACAGCAGAGTACCCTTTAATCAGGCAAAAGCCTTGTAAAGGTTTTAAGTTTGTGCTTAGAGCCTCTCATTCAAATAATACAGCTTCTGGCTTCCAAGAAGTGTAAGGCTTTTGTCCTTCTGCAGAAGCCCAAGGTACAAAAAGATGCAGCTCAAAGATATTTATGGGTTGGGCTCTTATCTCACAGACCAAAACCCAAAAAGATTCATAGGAGATTCACAGTTTTTTAGACTGTTGTCAGACACACTGCCAGCTTGGGCTGAAAGAGTCCAGGTACAAAAAGAAAAGAGGACTTTGGACCCTCTAGTTCTATTATCAGGAAGCAGGCAGAGAAAACTGCTTAGATGTAAATGCTTGCTACCTTTAAAGGAAAAAAGATGACTTAGGGGGTAAATCCAAGAGCCTAGAGGGTGGAACCAAAATCCATGGAGAATTCTTCCCAGGCCTTGAATGTGGAGTTATAAACCTGTGCCCAATGAATTTCCAAATTGCTATAGACCAGGGACTTCTGTGAACCTCCTGTTTTCTGCCTGTTGGAACAGGATTGACTTTAGCAGTTACCCTATCTTTCACATTGGTTGTTTTAGGAAGGAAGCATATAGCTTTTTTCTGTAGGACTTCAAATGGAGAGGTACTGTACTCAAGCGACTGAATATAAGGAATATGTCCAAGAAGATTTGTCGGCCCTACAACCTATTTAGAGGACAAGACTCTGAACTTCGAATGAATGCTATAATGAGATAAGGTCTTGGGATGGGTGAGTGCATTTTGCATGTGGGAGGACTATAAATAATTTATGACCAGAGTGTGAACTGTGGCAATTTTAAAATACTCCACAAATTCTTTGGTATATTAGTTTCTTCTTGTTACTGTAACAAATTACCACAAGCTTAGTGGCTTAAACAACAATTTATTATCTTACATTTTTGGAGGTCTGATATTCCAAATTAGTCTTACAGGGCCCAAATCAAAGGCTGCATTCCTGAAGGCTCTAGAGGAAAATCTCTTCCTTACCTTTTTCAGCTTCTAGAGGCTATACACATTCCTTGGCTCATGACCATCTCACTCTGACCTGTTAGCATCATTACATTTCCTACTCTCACTCTGACTCTCTACCTTCCTCTTATAAAAACCTTTGTGATAATCAGAGTACCCAGATAATCCATGAGATTTCCCTGTTTCTGTCCTTAATTACACCAACAAAATCCTTTATTCCATGCAAGGTAAATATTTGCTGCTTCTAGGGATTAGAACATGGATATCTTGTGGGGGAGGGGGTGGGCAGGGACAATGATTCTATCTACTACAATGCTCATCTCTTCAGAAGATGGCACTAGTCCACTCTTCTTGAATGTGGGCTGGATGTGTGGACTACTTAGAATTAATAAAGTAGGGCAGAAGTGAAAATATGACACAAAACTAAGTCACAGGGTTGCCTGGGTGGCTCAGTTGGTTGGGTGTCTGACTCTTGATTTCAGCTCAGGTCATGATCTCAGGGTCTTGAGACCAAGCCCTGCATCTGGCTCCATGCTCAGTGGGGAGTTTGTTTGAGATTCTCTCTCCCTCTCCCTCTGTCCCTCCCCTGCTCGTGCTCACTCTCTTTTCCTCAAATAAAAAACTAAATCTTCCAAAACAAAAAAACTAAGTCATAAGGGTGTCTGGGTGGTAGAGTTGGTTAGATATCTGACTCTTAGTTTCAGCTCAGGTTGTGATCTCAGGGTCATGAGATCAAGCCCCATTGTCAGGCTCTGTGGTCCACACAAAGTCTGCTTAAGTCTCTCTTTCCCTCTTCCCCTGGCCCTCTCCCCACCGCCAAATAAATAAATCTTAAAAAATAAAAATTAAAAACTAAGCCATAAAAGACATTGCAGCTTCCTCTTTTGAAGAGGATTACTCTTGGATTACTCACATAGGGAGAAGCCAGCTGACATGCCACAAAGATGCTAGATTATGGGGTAATTTGTTACGTAACACTAGATAACTACTACAATCCCTTAGGTCACATCCTGATCCACGATATCTGCTTAAATTCTAGCTATTATCTCTACATTCCAGCCTTCCTGAAAAAGGAAGGGGAGAAGAAAAGCATGCTCCCCCCCCTTAAGTGGCATTTACTGGAAGTTGTATGCACCTCTTTCATTTACATCTCACTTCTTTGAGATGGATGTGGCACATCTAGCTGCAGGGGAAGCTAAGAAACAGGATTTATTCTGGCAGCCATGTGTCTGACTGAAAATTAGGATTTTTTTTTAATTATTTTTTTAAAGATTTTTATTTATTTATTTGACAGAGAGAGATACAGTGAGAGAGGGAATACAAGCAGGGGGAGTGGGAGAGAGAGAAGCAGGCTTCCTACCAAGTAGGGAGGCTGATGTGGGGCTCGACCCCAGGACCCTGGGATCATGGCCTGAGTCGAAGGCAGCCACTTAATGACTGAGCCACTCAGTTGCCCCTAGGAGTTCTAATATTATGTGAGAAGGGGAAAGCAGATGGGGGGCACAAATAGCAACCTCTGTCACAATGGGTGATTATACGGGTCGGGAAAAGCAAAGTCTAGCATATGTCCATCAACATTTTCCCTTTTTCTTAACAAAGTATTTTCATTGGTGACCAAATGCTATTTACACACCCAGAATTCTGCTCTCTCCAAAGAATCATGCCAATTGTGTATGAGTCACAGGAAAACCCAACTAATATATTATATAAACCACAATGAATGATGAAATTTTTTTTTTCTTACAAAGTTCTTTTCAGGGACACTAATAAGGAATAATATACTGTGGAGATTTTGCCTAAAGGCTCTTAAATTTCCTAAATGTTGCTTTCTAGATACTTATATTCTGTGAGCATATTTTGATGCATTGTCAGAAATATGATAACAGTTGCAAGGAACACAATCATGTTCCTGACAGGTTTTTTTTTTTCACATACTAACCATTCTTGGCTAGCCACATTAAGTGGACTTTATTTAACAATATAGTTAACCCCCAGAGGATCACAGAGGAAGAGAGGGAAAAAATAAACAAAATGAAACCAGAGAGGGAGACAAACCATAAGACATTCTTAATCATTGGAAATAAACTGAGTGTTGCTGTAGGGAAGGGGCATGGGGGATGGGGTAACTGGGTGATGGGCATTAAGGAGGGATATAATGAGCACTGGGTATTATATAAGACTGATAAATCACAGACCTGTACCTCTGAAACTAATAATACATTGTATGTCAACTAATTGAATTCAAATTAAAACATAAAATAAGACTTTTAAATGGAAACCAAACAATATAGTTAACCCTAATTACAAGCATGTAACACTGCCTCCTTGTATGCTTTAGTCAAACTACAAAAAAATTAAAAATATGCATTTTCAGAAATATATTACAAAGCCAAATAGAAATTATTTTCAACAAGTATTAAATGGCTTCCTTGCAAAGCGTGTGTTATTGTTTCCTTACACCAGGGTGAAAAATGAGTGCACTGTAATTTCTAAGTAATTGGTTATAATCTGCTTGTAATTGGTCCCAGTGGTCATTAGATGGCTGCTACTATAGAGTTCAGACTACAGAGACCAAGAGTTGGGGGATTACTAATTGATTTGACATATAGCTTTTCATTTCATTATCACACAAAGTCCTCCATTTTCATCCAGACATTCAGTCATCAGTTGCCATGACATAAACAAAACATCGTCAATCTTACAAAATTTCACCATAAAAGGACTGTCTATGTTCATGTAACCTTTTGATGATATCACGCAGTGTAATGGGTTTTTAAAAATGTACATTATGTAAGGAATGCAAGACTCAAAGGCAAAGATTATGAGTGTTCTGTAAAGTAATTCAATCCCACACTGTGGAGGCTCAATACATTTTAAAAAACAAAGTGAACTCACAAATTCTAAAGTCTTATCCTATAGAATGATAATGCAAATAATGAAGATATTGATCCCATCCCCTGTGAATAAAAGGTCTTCTTAGATGCCTGCCAAGGATCCTGTTAGTTGGATTTTTCCCCCTGTGATTTTTGAGCTATTACTTCTTTTAGTTTTTCATGGAAATTAGTGGCTGAGAGTGAACCTAAGAAGACTTTGATCACTTAACTTGGAAAATGGATCAAAGCTATATGTGAGTAAATATCAGGTTTTCTTAATCTACCAGCTAAACTAAGTTCATAATTTTTAGTAACTGAGCTGATTACTGCAAACATATTAAGCCAGAAGGATAGGTATGTGTCTCTTTATACCAGTAGTTCTTAAACTAGAGTATGCAATAGGAACACCAGGAAGACTTACTGAAAAAGAATGCTGAGCCCCACTCCCACATTTTCTGAGTTAGTGGTTCTGGGGTGTGGCCTGTGCATTTTCATTACTAACAACTTCCACATGATACAGAAGGCCACTGGTCCTAGACCACACTCTGAGTTTCAAATCCTGATATAAATTTGGGCATTTAAATGATCCTATAAGTAATTGCCATTAAGCTTTTCTTGTACCAATGTATGCCTCCTGCAAATAAAACCTAGGCTAAACTGACAGTCTGTTCTACTGAAGTCGTACACATTCCAAAAAATCCCCAATTAAAAAGCGAAACAACTCTAACTCTTAGAATAGTGATAACCTACTTGCTTTGAAAATGTTACTAAAGTTTAAAGAAAAACTCTGGGTTCTGGAGTGAACTTCAGTTCCTGTAGCAATCATCATTCGGTTACATTTAGAAACATGCTTCTTCTAAAATAATCATTTTTGAGGCGATGACACTTACTCTTTTCACCCAAAGAAAACAAAGAACAACACAGGAAGAACTGGGCAGGCTTAGGTCGATTCATTTTGGAAAGCACATTTAATTCACTGTTGCACAACTCAAGCAGAGGGGGCGGTTGGGAAGTCAGGAAGGCACTTAAGTCATTTCAACCAAGAATGCTTAAGAAAGAGAAGAATCTTGAAGTCGTGGATGGCCAAAGAAAATCTGAGAGGTAAAGAACTGACTCTTTATGTGACAACTTGTCAGGAATGTTCAGAGCTTCCCATTATTGTCCACGAACCCTGAGATTGAACAATTATTTCTAGAGGAGCTGAGCACGAATAACCTTTTGGAGCTGGGCTGATGCCAAAATACTACTTAGGTGTTCACCCCACATGAGGCCAGAACTCACTGCACTTTGCTATCTCATGGACAGGTTCTCCCCACATACAGACAAAGGCCCAGAAACCTTGTTCCAGGAGCCCAGACAAGAGACCCACTGGTTGTTGTTGTTGTTGTTATCTTTTAAATATGGGTTCTTCCTCCTTTGATATAACTTCTTCATACCAACCATCTTATCTAAAGAAAATGTCCAATTACTACTCCAATGGACACTTGTCTCAGTAGCCAAAAGGTACAGTTAGGTTTGAAACTTCTTGGATTCAACTCTCTATTGCACTACCATCTCCTTCAGTAAAGGGTGATTCACGGGTGAGACAGGCTCAGTCATTTGCCGCATTCCTAATTCCAAAAGCTTATTCTCAGTGTTAACCCATGGATACAGAAGACTTATTTCAACTACTTCTTATGGATGCCTCTTCTCCATATGTGGATGCAAACGTGTGCAAAGTGACCTAAGAAATGATACACTAAGTGGTGCTTGAGTGCCACATCAGGAGATGGAACTGCTAACAAATGTTGGGGAAGGGGTTCTAAAAGAGGCTGGAATGAGGCTCTTTCATTGAGAAAGGTGTTGTGGAATGACATCTGCTCTTGCCAAAGCCAGGTCTCTCAGATCTCCCAACTAAAACAACACACAGTAACAACATCTCACAGAATCTTGACTGTATGCTTAATGCCACAGGAAGTCCCAGCAGCTTTAAATATCAATACTGAAAGAAACCTTCTAGAGTGGCTGGTTTGGACCTAGCATTCTTCCAACTAGAAAACTGAGCCCCAGGGAGAAGAAAGAGGCTTGCCTTAATTAAGGTTAAAGATTCCTTAGATGCAACACTGAGGCCGTGACTTAGATTTTCTGATCATCAGACCACTGTCTATAAGTCATTCCCTTTTTCTTGATGAATGGGGCTGAGGGTGGTTGTTAATGTTAGACTAAGGTGAACACCAGTGGAGCAACAGCTATGGCGAGGAAAAAAAGAAGAGCCTGTATCCCACCTCCTCAGAGAAGGCCCAGCATGCCCATGAGTCTGACCCCACAAGCCTCCAGGATGAGAGAGCCCTTACAGACCCAGCAACAGGGCAGCAACTTCCTATGAATGATGCCAAGTGGGAGGGCCTGTATCCAGGACAAGTCTGTGTAGGTCGTTTTTTTTTTTTTTAACACTCTCCTTCCTCACCACCAAATAAAATTACAGATACAATGCAAGTGTGTTCCTATACGTATTCCTTTAGATTAAGCAAGCCTCATCATGGTTTCAGGTGACCCAATAAGAAAAATAAAATAAAATTGTACTTGTGGCCTCTCAGATTAAAGGCTGAGCTAAAATGAGGTAGCCCAGCCCACAGGAGGACAGGCCACACATGCTGATACAACTGGCCCAGCATGTCAAACGTGGAACTTGTGCTCAGCAGACTCAGAGACCCATGGGAACAATTCCTTCCCCCAAGGACAGCCAAGAGGTAGATAAATGCAATCAGCCACATGGATGGACGTAGCATACAGAAGCACCAGGTCGCTGGTGTAGAGGTGTCTTGGAGGAGGGACGGAGGGCCTGAAGGGTGGGGCCAGACCTCTGGCTCTAATTACAGCAATTCCCCCTCCAAAGGAAAAGTGTTTGGTCATGAAAGAAATCCCCAGTATGTAGCAAATGTCTACAGCAGTGAGAGTGTGGCAGTCGAAGGTAGAGAAGTGATGCTGTTCTAAGGGTGACACACTTCTTCTAAAGGAACTACCAGGGCGGAGCTGCCTATGAGACCCATCTGAAGGGTGATGATGATGAACTGGGGGACCCTGGCACATTCATCCAGGCCATGCATGACCCCTGAGTGGCCCTACCATCCTCACTCCCCATAGAACTGCTGGCAAGAACTCCCCTCATGAGAGAACCACACTGGATTGAGGTGATGGCAAAAGGCACAGGCAACTCTGAGGGTTCAGCTTGCCTTCAATTTCTCCTTCAGCCTGAGGGAAGGGAAAGGAGATAAAGGTCCAGATGATGCAACAAGGCTTCCAAGCCAAGCAGTTGCTATCAGAGCCACTGAGCGTCAGGCCCAGGAACCATGAACTCAGAGTGGAGTCAAGGCCCCTTCCTCTGGAATGAGAGGTTCAGCTCTGCCCTCCTCCTCAGGAAAAAATGTCCTGAAAAGGAAAGCTGGCTTCTCTCTGAGGTCATGTAGAACACCTGCTCAGCTGTGTCAGTCACCCTCAGGTTAAGCAGGAAGAATCCCTGAAGGAGGCATTCTGTGGATGAAGGCTGAGGCGCTCCACTTACCTGGGACACACCACAAGTTTTAAATTACACACTCCCCCACACGCAGCACACTCACACGTAACACATGCACAGAGACCCACGCCTCCACTGACTGACGTTCTTCTGACCCACCCCACACCCAGTCCTCCATCCCGCCCCAAAGATATCGTTCCCTGTAAACATGACAGCAGAGATGTCCACAGTTCTGGGACAGCCTGATAGTGATCTGAGGATGACTCCTTGTCATTAAGTGCCCCGGTAGGTGATGTTGGTGAAGGTGGATGTGGCCTCTTTATACAGTGGGTTGTTGGCCTGCGGAGAGAACAGAGCAACATTGAATTCCTCAGCTCTCCCCTACCCACAAGGATTACGTTTCCTCTGAAAAGTCCACCCAAGACACCCTTCGCTGGGATATTCCATAAACAAACGACTTAATGCTCCTTGTACCCCATTTTCGCTCTTAAGATGGGAGTGGGGAGGAAATAAGAGTAGAGAGAAGGTAGAACGTCATCCTCCTGCTATTTCTAAGGGGCTGAATCTAGCCTATTACTTTTTGGGGATCAGCAAACATTTCAGGATCACTTTTTGTCAGTATCATTTCTTGCCTCTCTCCTGAACTCTCTCTCTTTTGCCCTTCTCCCCACTTTTCCTTCCTTGTGACCGTGCTGGGGGATGTGAGCAGAGACAGGAAATGTAACAGGTAGTAGCTGAAACCGAGAGGACAGCTTTGGCTCAAAATAATTTTAATTTGTTCTCATCTCATCCCTCCAAGCCCTACCCACAAATTGTCATGTTAGCAGGAAAAAATAAACCCTCTCTGGCTTTCCCAAGGTATTTTCTTTTTTTTTTTTTTAATATTTATTCACTTACTTGGGTTGGGGGGCAGGGGCAGTGGGAGAGCATCTCAAGCAGACACTGTGTTGAGCACAGAGCCCAGTATAGGGCTCGATCCCACAACCCTGAGATCATGACTCCAGCCAAACCAAGAGTCACAGACCTAACCTACTGAGCCACTCAGGCACCTCCCCCACCAAAATTTTTTCTAACAAAAAGTGACAAATTCCATTAGATCTGGTGGTCTTTCCGAGTCATTTCAAGAACTGCAACACATTTTCACATGCCTCAGAGCTTCCAGATTTCTGTACTATACTACCAGAAACATCAGAAGTTTCTTGGGACCCTTGGGTACAAAGGCCTGAAGTCACCAGCAAATGAAAACAAGCTTTCAGCTTCCACCTGGACATGCATGGAGTCAAACAGCCATTTGAGAGGTCCAGAAAAAAGTTAAAATGTAAAAAATGAGCCAAAGAAGAACACAGTAAAATTAAGCATACAGAAAGTTTTCAGTAGATGCTTGTATCATTTAATTCTATCAGGATAAACTGCAGGGAGGAAATTTTTTAAAGATTGATTTTATTTATTTATTTATTTATTTGACAGAGAGAGAGAGCATGCACAAGTAGAGGGAGTAGCAGAGGGAGAGGGAACAAGAGTCCCTGACTCCTGAGCAGGGAGTCAGACGAGGGGCTCGATCCCAGGACCCTGGGATCACGACCTGAGCCAAAGGCAGATGCCTAACTGACGAAGCCACCCAGATGCCCCAAGGATATTTTTTAAGAGGTTGGTCCAAAAAGTAATTCCCATCATAACTTAATTCCCTCCCACAATTGGGCAAGCTGCTTAAGCTTTCTGTGCTTAGTTTCCTTACCTATAAAATGGAAATAACAATGCTGCCTCCTATCTAGGGCTATTGTAGGTCTGGAAGAAGTTAACACCTAAAAGTCATTTAGAATAGTTCCTGGCATATGGTGAATCCTCAGCAAAAGTTAGCTGTTTCTTTTTTTTTTTTTCCCCCTGTTTGTGTTTCATGCTTTGGACTTCATCAGTATATAATGTATTATATGTTCTCAGTGTAGGATTCTCAAGTTTGTCCTCTCCTCCTCAATTGGAGAAGTAGTCTCGTTTTCATTGCATCAGTGTCCAGAGCAGAGCTGGGCCCTACCTGTGTTCAGTCAGTACTCATTGATGTAGCCCGTTGTCACTGCACGGTAGGGAGAGAATTGGTGGTTTCCAGGAGGAATAAGGATAATGGGACCATCTCCCAATTTCCAGAACAGAGGCTAACTGGGAAATCACGGGCTAGCTGAACCTGGCCCCCTTATGCACCTACAGCTTCCACGCAAGCCTGTCAAACCCATGACTTGAGAACACACCCAGCCCAGGCTCTTACTGTGTCCCATTTTGCTCTGGCTCTCTCTTCCTCAAATTTAGCAAACTCCTTCCGGTCATGGATGGTGATGAGAAGCTTCCAGATGAGCAGAGTAGCAAGGCCGATGAGCAAAATGGCCCCCATCACTGAAAGCAGGACCACCAGGATGTCAGGACCCTTGGGACACTCTGTCAGGAGAGAGCACAGAGCAAAAAGGTTGTGAATGTAGCAGGAATCACTTGAACTGGCTAGGAATAGATCTTCTTGACCAAGTAAGAAATTACTAGAAAGTTCTCTAAGGGAAACAAGACTTACAAAACACATCAACTAATTTTTATAAAGGAAGAGGTGCTGATCTTTAAGACAGCAATAATCTGTCCTGAGTGGTTTAAGTTAGAGGTCATAAGCAGGTCACCCATGGCAGAATTTGACCTAAGTGTTTATTAAAAATCTGATTTTATGTTCACTACACAGGCATTAAAATAAAAACTTAATAAAAAATTTTCGATTTTTGTTGGCAACATTGAATAATCAGGAGATTATTCCCCTGAAATTTCAAATTCTTCTTCTCTTAAAAAAAAAAAAAACTGGGGCACCTGAGTGGCTCAGTTGTTAGATGTCTGCCTTTGGCTCAGGTCGTGATCCCAGGGTCCTGGGATCAAGCCCTGCACCTGGCTCCCTGCTCAGCGGGAAACCTGTTTCTCCCACTCCTTCTCCCCGTACTTGTGTTCCCTCTCCTGCTATGTCTCTCTCTGTCAAAAAAATAAGTAAAATCACTAAAAAAAATTCAAAATAATAAAATAAAAAGGTCTGAAAACTCTGAACCCACAGGGCATCCCTGGTGAGATGTGAGGAAAAGCTGTCCCCTGTAGATGGGACACATTTTATAGTTTGCCAGAATTCTCACCATCCTCTTTTCTCCACTAAAGAGAAGCAACATGTAATTTGTCATTGAGGCCATGCTACCTTGCACTCTGGAGCTAGACAGCCTGGGTTCGAATCCTGGCTTACCACTTACTTTGCTATGTGACCTTTGATAAATTATTTAAACTTTCTGGGTGTCTGTTTCCTATTTCTCCATGTTTAAAATGGAGAAAGTAATAGCACTGAACTCTAAAACTTATGAAGAATAATTAAGTTAAATATATTTCAAGTACTCAGAAGACTGCCTGGCAGAGACTCGTGCTCAATAAATACCAGCTACCGTTATTACTGGCCTTCTTGTTATATCTGATTGTTTTTGCTAAGTTATTTACCTAGCTCCTGTAGACATTTGTGTTACCCTGATTCAGATACATACATCCCTGAGGGCTGGGAACCTAATGACCTTGTTAGAACACTTAAAGACCATGAAGCCTGCCAACCAAGAGAATATTTTGGGCTCCTTCCCAAAATATTTCATCATCTAAAATCCTAACCCTATTGAGAGGTGACTTCCTGTTCAAACCGAGTCAACAACCAACAAGGACAGAGGTGCGTCACCCTTCTGAGAGCCAAGTTGAATATGCTCCACAGAGCTCTGTTTCCCATAAACCACGGGTGTCTGATGGGTGACCTCACTCCAGTGACTTCTCAGGTGTTATGTAATTAGGTGTTTGGATATATGAGTATTGATGGGTCTGGAGAGGATGTCACACCCACTTTCCACACTGTCTCCCACCTTCTTCTCTAAACATATACACTGCACTCACCACACACGACCCAAAAACAACCACCAACACAAACCCAAGCTGGCTATTTCCCAAGCCACCAAATTATAACCTGTCTATAATTAAAGGAACATCTGGAGAGAGGCTCTGAGGTCCCACTGTCTGAATTCCCAGGAATGAAGGGTCCCAGTTCTTCTGGGAAAAACAATTGTGAATTCTCTGGAAGACAGGGCTGACCCTCAAACCTCAAAGTAAAATCTCTTCAATTCTGCATGTCAGTATGGGCAGGACAGGTAGAATGTCAGGAGACCTTCAGGGAGGGGCGCCTGGGTGACTCAGTGGGTTAAGCCTCTGCCTTCAGCTCAGATCATGATCTCAGAGTCCTGGGATTGAGCCCCGCATCGGCTCTTGCTCAGCGGGGAGCCTGCTTCCCGCCACCACCACCCCTCCCCCCCGCCTGCCTCTCTGCCTACTTGTGATCTCTGTCCATCAAATAAATAAATAAAATCTTTTAAAAAGAGAGAGAGAGAAAGAGAGAGATCTTCAGGGGAAAACATCTGTTAAGCATTTATCCTGAAAGGGGTGGATGGCAAGTTTCCTGGTCACAGAAGCCAAGATCAAATGATCTCTAGACAGCTCCCCTAGCCACAGTGATGAGGAACCAAGAAAGACTGGGCAGGACTAGCAGATTTCACAGAAGTATAGGAAGTCCAGTTAAATGTGAATTTCAGATAAACAATGAATAGCTTTTCAGCCTGAGTATGTACTACATATTGCATGGGATATACTGTATTTGCCAGGCAACCCTATCTGGAAGTGATGAGGACCCAGCTCAGGGGATCTCACTCCATGCAGGCTGAACCCCACCCAGCCAATGCCAAGCCCTTTGGCAGTGCTCTCTCTACTGCCCTGAAGTGGCCCAGCCCTTCAGGGAGAGCATCTCCAAGGGCATGAGTTGGGGAAGAGAATGAGAATAATCTCCTTCTGTACTCCAGGACCTCAAGTGTTACATTCTGCTTGAAGCCGGAGCCCCTGAAAATCATCAGAGGTGGGAGGTGAGAGGAGAAGCATAACTTGGAATTCCGTGGCAACAAGATAGGAAATGTAGGTCTGGGATCCCATTTCTGAAGGGGTCTCCATCAGAAAAGTTACCCCCTCAGGGGTTATTTGTACCAGCTCAGGTTATCACCATCTTTGTTCCCCACAACTCCAGGTAATGGGTTCTGGTCTAAGAACACCAAGCCAAAAGATTTTGGTAAGTGATACAGTGGAAGCATCAGCAAAGACTGTTGTAGGAAAGTAATGTTAAACCCAAAATTTCTTCCTTCTGAAATGAGGAAGGACAAAGGTGTAGATAGTGTGGGCATAGAAAAATCCATGAAATGTGTTAACACAAGTGGATGGGAAAGTGTTGGGGGGCCATGGCCAAATAACCCACATCCGCTCCCCCAGATACATACCCACCCTCCTCCCTTTCCCCTTCCCATGTCAGCTTTGCCTTAAGTTAGTAAACAAAACGAAGGCTAGACCCTTTCTTTACCTTCCTTCTCCCTTCTAAAAGTGAGAGCCCTGGGAAAGGCTGGTAAACAATATCACAGGTGGGGGGCACCATGCTTTCCTCTACCCATGGGGCCAGCAACACGCTGGCTTATACAGATGTAGCAGTGCTTCTTCCCACTTTCACCCCCTTCCTTCTCCAAGCAGCCCAAATCCTCCTAGCAGGTATCAAGATGCATATAAGCCTGCCTGTCTCCTGGGCATATTCAGTCCTATGAATTCATTCAAAAACCATTTATCAAGTATCTCGATACTTGATATCATCTTGATACTTGATACTTGCTATCATCTACAGTTTCTGTAGATGACTGAGCCTAGTATGGGTATAACAATAGATGAGACAGACAGTCCCTGTGCTCATGTAGCTTGTGATCTACAGAAGGAGATGGGGGACGAAAGAAAGCAATTTAATGCTGTGATGAAGGCCCTTCTAAGGGAAGCACAGTTGCTCTGGGAATGGAATAGAACCACCCAACCGAAGCAGCAACACGGGTGCTGCAGGAGGTCTGAGAAGGCTCATTAGGAGAAGTGATATGTCCAAGACAGAGGCACTCAAATACTGGGGTGTATCACAATTGCCAGGAACACTAATCAGGAACACAGAGGCTCATGGAAGTAGGACAGGGCTCAGGACTCGGGTTTTGTTTTATTTTTATTTTTTTTAACAAGGGGGAACATACAGAAGTTTGAGACCCACTTTTCTAAAGCAGGGACCAGCAAACTATGGTCTGGGAGCGAAATGTGGCTTGCCACCTGTTTTTGTAAATATGCTTGGGCTTGCGCATTAAATATATGCTGCTTTCCTGTTATAATGGCAGAGTAGTCATGGCAGAGACCCCATGGTCTGCAAAGCCTGAGATATTTAACATCTGGCCCTTTGCAGAAAGAGTTTGCTGGGCCCTGGTCTGAAGGAAGATCTGAAGAAATTGCTCCAGCTGTTAAGAATGTCAAGCAACTGACTGATTTGGTCTCTGCCTTCAGACATTGTTCCTTCACTCCCATAAGTTCCTGTCTACCCTCTGCCATACCATAGCCCTTGTCCCTCAACAGGGTCATTATCGATTTACGTGTCCCTCTCCCCCAGCCTGTGAGTGCCACATCTGCTTATGGTGATATTCCCAGCACCAAGTCCACTGGCTGATATATAATAAGTACTCGAAAATATTTTCTAATGATTCATAGCTTAGTCTGTTAAGCGAAAGGAAGGAGACAGAGGAGGTGAGGGGAAGCAACAAATCTACTGTGACTGGATGGGGACAAGCCTGTGGTTGGTCTGTGCGTATGACAGATGAGTTCCTCCTGCTTCCAGAGGGCCTTGAGAGCAAGCACTAGCTTTTCAGTGTTCAGGACACCTTAGATTGTTGCCTCAAACACAGCACCATGTCTCACGGTCAAGACCTTAAACATCAGGCCTTCCCTTGAAGCACCAAGCTGCTTGCCCTGGGCAACCACCGAGCTTTTAGTAGAGCAGGTGCTGAACAGTCCTAGACTTTAAATTCCATACTTCTGGGGCGCTGGGTGGCTCAGTGGGTTAAGCCTCTGCCTTCAGCTCAGGTCATGATCTCAGGGTTCTGGGATGGAGCCCTGCACCAGGCTCTCTGCTCAGCAGGGTGCCTGCTTCCCCCTCTCTCTCTGCCTGTCTCTCTGCCTACTTGTGATCTCTCTCTGTGTCAAGTAAATAAAGAAAAAAAAATAAATTCCTTACTTCTTAACATTGTCACCTCAAAAACTGCCATGATATATTTTGTCCCTTCATGGGGTCCATATCTACCTCTTTTTTCCAAAAGGTTTTACTTATTTATTTTAGAAAGAGAGAGAGCATGAGTGGGTGGAGGGGCAGAGGATGAGGGAGAGAGAGAATCTCAAACAGACTCCCCGCTGAGCACAGAACCCGGTGCAGGCTCAATCCCATGACCCTGAGATCGTGACCTGAGCCAAAATTAAGTCCAATGTTTAGCCAACTGAGCTACCCAGGCACCCCCTACCTTCTTCCTGTCCTTACCCACATTTTTACTTTTCTATCTCCTCAATTAGCAAAGTCGCTTTCTCACTAATATATGTATTTAAATATCACTCATATCCCAACAACAGGCCCTAACTTACCACTTGTAAGGTCAGTCTTAACGTGGTTGTTCTGTGTAAGAAGAGTGATGGGTAGAAATTATTGCCTACCATGGCCCTGAGGGTTTACTCACCTGGCTCTTCTACCACATAGAGAATGGACTTTCCACTAGAGTCTTCATAGTACTGGAATCTGACGACACAGTCATCCTCATTCTTGTATGTACAATTCACTGCATCCTTGCCAGTATCCTCTGAGAAAGAGAAAAAGATGGGAGAATGAAAAACGACTCAATTTATGGAAGACGGGGCCATCCCCAAGCCGCAGTTATGGGATTTCCGACAAAGTATGCAATAGGAAACCCTATGCCTTACATTAGGCAAGATGTCTAGATTTGAGATGACCTGGCAGTTACCTCTAGATGACCCTCACTTCTATATTTTGTTCCTCACTTCTGTATTTTTGTTCCTTACTTCTGTATTTTGTCCCTCATGAGCCCTTTTAGGTTCTTACTCATTATTCTGGAAGAGACATGACATAACACATTACATGGTCTGAATCAAAACCTTGCTCTCCCACCTGCTAGCTGTATAATATTGAGGAAATTACTTGAACTCATTGTCTCTCTCTTCCTTCATCTGTAAAAGGAAAATGATACCCCACCTCACAAGGCTGGTAGAGAACCCAATGGCATAAAGTGAACAGTACCGAACACACAGTGGGTGTTCCCATCCCTCCCTTTCCCTTCTCTTCTTGCCCAATGATTCGTAACAATTAATTGACTCAGCCCTTATATTTCTTCCATTTCTATTTCTAATCTAGTGTTCCTTTCCAGAGCCATCCCCTCTTCTCTGATTCCCCTCACATTTTGTAGGCTTCATCCCTTCTGATTCTGAACCCTCTTATTTTGACAGAGAAACTATAGGTATCCCTCCATCAGCTCCACTATATCCTCCAGTGATGAAGCCAGACGGGTAAAACTGACATGTGATGAGGTTAAGCAAATGTCCCAAGATCGCACCACAAGTGTATGATGGAGCAGAACTAGAACTTGAGTCTCAGAGCACATCCTACAGCCTGGAACTCAACAAGCCTTCCGAAAACCAGTGGTGTAAGAGTACAATGGAAAGGGTGAGGATTTCCGGATTTAGTTCTAAGCTTAACTTGTTCACGTGGGTTATGTAACTTTCCTGAGATTCCATTTCCTCATCTGCCAAATGAGGATAGCAACAGTCCTACAGTTGTTCTTTACTGGGTTGTAGAGAAAAGGATAAGATGATGGGTATGGAAGGACACTTTCATAACTTTTGTAAGTTATACAATTCCACATAAACAAGCATTCAGTGTTATGATTATCATGGCATGGAGGGAGGGGGCAAGAGAAATACTTATCAGCTACCCTGTGATATCCATCTGGTCTAGGAAATAAAAAGCCCTCACATCTCTCTCAGCAGTCTCCCCCACTCCCAAGTTAATCATAGCATACACCCAATCTCCTCCAGAGGAAAAGCCGTCTCTTCAAACTCAATCCCCAAATTACTACCCTCACTCCCAGCCCCACCTCTGATATTAGCCAAAGGGTCCAGAGATCTGACCCTTTTCTATAACACCCCCAGCCAGAAGCTGAGTGACTGGTTGTATCTTACTGGGGCTCTCACTAAAAAAAAACATGTTTCCTGCCTTCGTGGGAGATGGTAATCTCTTGAGAGATTACCATCTCCCTGCTACCAGCCAATGCCTAGCTGACCCAGATAATCATATCAGACGTGCTGACAGCAGCAAAGATGATCGCCTTTTAAGTAAAGGTAAAGTAAAAACCAGAATAATTGCAAGCAAAAGTTTTGCTCCCCAATGGATTTCTTATCTGCCGTATTCCAGGAAGGGCTCTAGCATGGTGAGTTTAGCTACAAATCCATAAAGGTGAAGGTTTCCCTCCAAAACAGCAAAGTGGTATGCCTGGGCACTGTTTAACACTCTCAGTTAAGTAAACTCTATAAATGCTTATAAGCTTCCTAAAATGATGCCTGTCACTCTGGCCTCAGTTTCTTCATCTGTAAAAGGAGATGCAAAGCAAAGTTAGGGCTGCCTGAAATCAGTCATACTTTCAAGGTTACTTGTAGGATCTTGCTGAGTCTGTGGGTGCTGGGAAGCAGATCGGGGAGGGTCTATGGAACCAACTAGTAGAGTGGAGGAGAACTTAGGGAAGACAGTTTTTATGGAGTGCCTAGCATGCATCAGACCCACACAACATGCCTTTGAGGTGGGAATTACTCTCCCATGTTACTGATGAGAGTTGGACAGATTCGGGGATTAACTCACAATTTTAGACGCTGTGTGTGTGTGTGTGTGTGTGTGCACGTGCACACGCGTGTGCGTGTGTGTGTGTGTGTGCACAACTCTGAGACATGCTGAACTTACTAAGCTCCTTCACAGACTCGATCTCATCACGACAGTACTGGCTGCAGGTGTTGTCCTCATGGAGGACTCCTCGGTCAAATTTCTTACACTCCACACACTCCCTAAAAGAGAGGACACAGAGATTAAGACAAGGGAGGAAAAAACTACAAGGTTTGAGTCTGACTCAGACCTCCATACACCAGAAAGCTGCTCCACCTCAGAAAACAAACACCTATACTACAATCCCGGGGGCCCAGAGGGTCAAGTCTGGAGTTCGGGGTGGGAGGCGTGGCAGGCAGAGGGCCCCAGCACCCTCATTAAACTCTGTCATGGCCCATCTGACAGGAAGTGAAGCCTATCCAGTTTGGGGAGCCTTAAAGACAGAATAGCTCATGTAATCTGGCAGCCCAGCACAAAGGAAAATATTAGGTCCCTTGTTCAAAAATAACTAAGACTTACAACACAGGGCCAGCAAAGCAGTAAACCAAGTGTGGGGCCCTTTTAAGCACAGGGTACAGATGCACAGGTTGCACACCCACGAGTCCAGGCCTGCTTAAAGCGGCAAGAGAAATGGCGGAGCATCCCCTGACCCCCAGATGAGTGATGTGCATACCTGTGACCTTCTCCCATCTCTGTCCTTCATAACTGCAGTCTCACATCTCCCACAGCATCAGAACATCAGCGCTGGGACGTTCCCTGGAAACTCCCCGGTTTAGCCTTCCTCCCAACTCAGGGCTTCAGGATGCCACCCCCGGAGAGCAGGTTTCTCTACCTGGAGTCCCCGAGGTATTACTTGGACCCCTGCCTGGTTGGCTCTCCCTCCAACATTGCCCCAACTTTTCAATGGAAAGAGGAAAGCAAGCCCCTTAGCCTCAACAGACTCTACTTCTAAAGCTTTGGTGAGTAAGAGACAGACCCTGGAGTTGGGGGTGGGGGTGGATTCTAGCCGGGGGCACCCTCCTGCTCCTTCCAGCCCCCAGCTCTCTCCAACTCACTTATGGGCCCACTCACTTCTTAAAGGTGCAGGCATCAGGGCAGGTGGGGCACTTCTCACAGGTGTCCCCGTAGGAGCCGGGCTGGATGCACACACAGCTGCCGCACTCACACTTGCCCCGGCCGCTGCACAGCAGCCCGTTGCTGGACATACAGGTGTCTGTGCGCGTGGTGCAGTTGCAGTAGTAGCCGGTCCAGTCCGAGTCACACAGGCAGTCCCCACAGCTGCACTGGCCGTGGCCTGGAAGCACACAATGGGGGGCAGGGGGACAGTAGGTGAGGATCCCCACCATCCCCCCTCCTCCTACCACGATCGTGAGCACCACACTGAATGGTTCACCGCCATCCTTTTTATTTTTTCATTTTTATTTTTATTTTTATTTTTATGTTCAGTTAGCCAACATAGAGCAGATCATTAGTTTTTGACGTAGTGCTCAGTAATCCATTAGCTGCTCATCACACACGTGCCCGTGATGGGTATTAAGGAGGACTCAGGGCCTTCTACGTTTTCCTTTGATCCGCCCCAGGCCAGATCAACTGCCTGCCCTGTGTTTTCCTGGCACTTACATGGACCTTTATTTTAACCCTTATGATGAGCCCATTTGCTTGCCTATCCGTTTTTCTTTCTAGACTGTGAGCTCCACGATAGGAGAGGACATATCAATTTGTCCATCAGGAGAGATTAGCATGACATCTAAAACAGAGGAGGCAGGCAGTTAATGTTTTATTTACTCAACAAATATTTCTTGAGCTCCGGGTGGGCACTGGAGGTTTGTCAGTGAACAAGACAGGCAAGGTCCCTATGGCTCTGGAGCTTATGTCCCAGTTAAATTCCTGGGAAACAGACATAACGTTCACCAGCGTGTGCCTTGTGCTATGTTATGGTAGTGTGGGAAAGATGCACTCACCGTACTGCAGAAGAGTGGGAATGGGAGCGAGGGGCGTGGGGTGGGGGTTAGATTGGCTAAATGCAGGTGTTACCTCTCAGAGCTACACCCCCCTGATCACTTAACAAGGCTTGAAAACTTGGCTCCCAAACTCGGAGGAAAAGATGACTCATTCTCAAGGATTCTGACTCAGGAAGAAGGGGATGAATAATAAAAATCTGATTGTTAATCAGAGGCAAGGCAGGGAGCAAGGGGGAAGTAACCTCACTTGGTCTGAAAACCAGGTCACTGATAGGAGCGAAGGAGCCCCAAGGTGGTAGAGGAGAGGGAGGTGCCTAGGCAGGCTCAAACAGCCTGCTCACTGGCGCCTTCTGCCCCCCAGTGACAGCCGGGCAAGCGGGGGGGCCCCCACACTGTCCACTACATCCAGCTTTCAGTGACGGCTCCTGGACAGGGAAAGGCCGACACTACAGAGGACTGGCAGCACTCAGAGGCTTTGGCTGCCTCAGAAACTCCATAGTGTTTCCTTTGTGCGGCCAAACAAAGTGATCTTTGAGAAGACTGACTGCCAGGCCAGAGGGGCATGAGGCTGGGCGTCAAGTGGCGGGCTAGAGCCAGCAGGCCGATCCCAAGCTCTGGCAGGGTCAGCCCTTAGAAGGAAGCCACAGTGTGGTAATGTCACAGGACGGGCACCCCGCCAGCAAAAGGGTGGCTGAGCCTGGGTTCACAGAGAAGTCAGAGGAGGGGGGTGAGGAGTGAAGAGAAAATATAAGAAAGAGGAGGGAAATAGGAAAGAAGGCAGCAGGGGAGGGTGGAGATGAGGGAGGGGGAGGAGACAGGGAGGCACAGGCATTTCAGGTCCTGGGGAACACACCCACTTTCCCTAAACAACTGGACCTTCTGGGCGGATGCCTAGCTCCACTCCCCTGCTTTATGAGCCAGCACTTTGTTTGACATTCTACTTCCTCCATGAAGCCACCCAGGCTTCCACTGCCTACAGTGAGTCTCTCTGCAGTGGACTCCTATAACTAACTATTCCCCCAGGACCCCTCACTTGTGGCAGGTTCTGCCTCATGCTGTGAGTTGTCCGTAGGTAAGTTAATTCAGGGCAAAACTGTCTTATCCATGCCTCTCGATCCCACAACACCACAGCACAGAGCCCGGCTCGGGGGCGCCCCATCAATCTGTGCTCATGGACGTGGCAGGTGGAGGGTCCCTTGAGGACAAGGATGCACTCCCTATTGTCTGAGGCAGGGTGTTGATAACACGTAACCATAAAAGTCATAGCCCGGTGGGGAGGGGGGTGGGGGGAGGCCAGAGGCTGGGGAAAAAGCCAAGTCACGGCACGCCATCCCCACAGCAAAGAACAGACCACAGGCCAGCAGCTCTGGGGAGAGACAATGATGAACCATTGTACAAGCTGAGAGGTCAGGAATCATGCACGACCCCTGTTCACCCATTTGGACTCAGTGCCTAGTACAGAACAGGTGTTCAATAAGTGTGTGTCCCTGAGTATCTATCACTGGAGAGTGTAACAGTGGCACCACGGGGTATAGACCCCAAACCAGTGGGCACACAACACTCTGGCTGGAAGCCGGGGAGGGAGCCATTTCGGAGACTACAGTAGCTGCCTGGGGTTTCCCCAGGAATTAGGCTGCAGCACACTGGGGACAAGTTGTTCTTGCACCGGTAGGAGGTAGAAAGCAGGCTGCTGACCCGGGCAGCTTTGTTTTATGGCTTGAGGGTGGCCAGCAGCCGAAGGAAATGCACTCTGGACGGGATCCCTCCCACGTGGTGTCACAACAGACCAGGATCCATGAGGAGGTGGCACGGAGGAAGTGTAGACCTCCTTCTGTCCCTGGTGTCCCCCGAGGGGCGGTCTGTAGTCTCCCACATCAAACCTGCCCATTCCCCTTGGCACTCTGAATACGATGGAAGTACTATTAAACATTAAAATGAGCCGAAATTCCTGCCTCACCCCCTAATTCAAACTGCTATTGGTGTGTGTGTGTGTCTGTGTGTACCTGATCTCTCTTTCTCTCCCCTAATCTCCTTGATTCATTTCTCCAATCTCTCTCCCTCTCAGATTTTGTTGGTGTGAGCAAAGAAAACAATGTTTCAGATAAAAAAAAAAAAGCCATTTTTCTGTTATGTGGACATGCTTTAGGATGACACAAATTTACCTTTCTGATCAAACTTTTTTAAAGACTGATGTTAGAGTGAACATTTGAGTGGATGAGCTCAGCTCGTTAAACCCCAATGCAAAGGAAGCCAATCTGAGTCATAGTTTAGATCACCATAGAAGCTAATTACAATCTCTATGGAATGGCCACACCATACACCCAAAAACCAATCCCAACCAGTTTGCAAATGTCTTCCATCTTTCTGTCACAAGAGGAAGGGATCAAGCCTCAGCCATCAGAGCCCAGCAAAAATCTATCCCTACTCAGAACTGCCTGTCTGCCTCTCTGCTGCTAAGAATCAGCATGTCTGCAGATAAAGACTTAATCACATTAGTTTGATTTCTTCTAGCTGGGAAAGCATCCTTGTAGTGGTCTTTGGGGCAAGGAAAAAACAGCTTGAGATTGCCAATGGGGCTCCAGATCTTACTGAATTTTTGTCATGAGAAGGACAAAACCTCAGAATCCTTCAGGGAAGAGGACTCAGCATCATAATTCTGCATCGGCAGGCTGGACCTCTCAACGGCAGGTGCTTTTGCCCATTTATGTCCTGTCCAGCGTGCCACACATGGTTCCTGAGCAAAAGAGGACCTGACGTTTTCATTTTTTCACTTAATTTAAATTTATTTAAATTTTGCTTACATTATAATTCCACTTGGTGAATTTAAATTTATTCTTTTTTTGAATTTAAATTTAAATAGCCATATGTGGCTACTATATTTGACAGCACAGATCTGGGACAAAGTGCCAAGAGTGATAACAAAATAGTGCCAACATAACAACAGAGCTTACAATTTTCCCACCACTGTTCCAAGTGTATGGGCTCCTTAAATGGGCTCCATTGCCTTGCTTTTTTTTTTTTTTTTACTATTTTCCAAGTCTTATAATGAAAAGACAAATTAACATAAAAGAAATATTCCTAACTTTACTAGATATTCTGATATATATTTTCCAAACCTGTAGCGACTAAAAATCTAATTACCATCAGTCAGTGATTTTTTTTTTTTTTTTTACCTAAAAAGGGGGTTGGTCCCTAACCTTGAAATGATTAGGATGAACCAGTGACTTAAAGTATTAGCAGAAGGGCAAATGAAAGAAAAGAAGAAAACTGTCTTCACCTTCGAGCTTCCCCACCCTGCCCCGTGCCATTCTAGGAGGGAAGTCCCTTGGAGCCCAAGCTCACTTCCGCCTCTGTGTGCACCCCAGAAGCAAGGACTTGGGGAGCTGAGAGGGATTACAGAGAACCTCCTTCTGTTTTCCACTGTGGGAGTGGGACACCATCCACACCATCCATTCGGCTCTGCCTGCCGGGCCTTGGGCCTAAAGTCTCCAGAGGCCACAGACGAGCGAGTGTGAGTGGGGACGGGAATGTGGGTGGTTCTACTCACCTGAGCACATCTCCCCCTTGTAGCGGACGCAGGAGAAGTCATCACACTCGCAGTACTTGCCCGTGATCTTGCCGAAGTCACTGCTGTGGCAGACGCACTGGCCACACAGGCATTCGCCACGCTGGCTGCAGGCGGGCTGGCCCTCCTGGGGGCTGCACTCGTCCTGCTGGGAGGGCCGGTAGTCCTCTTCCGAGCACTCGCACTGAGACCCCAGCCAGCCGGGCCCGCAGAGGCACACCCCGCACTCAAAGGTCCCGTTGCCATTGTTGCAGCGGGGGCTGGAAGGCTCAGCATGGGCCTGGCATGCACAGTCACAGTCAAAGGTGACCTGGACCGTAAGGCTGTCTTTGAAGCCCACAGGCTTGATGGTGAAGGACTTCTCCTTCTCCTGGGGGCAGCCGCGTACCTTGGCCTCAATGCTGAAGCTCACCTGGGAGGAGAGTAGGATCGCATTCAGACTCGGGTGGACCCTGTTAACACTCCAGTCCCAGAGGGAAAGAAGCTGGACCCTGTGCTATCCTGCCCTACCCAGGGAATACCAACCGGGGGAGGGGGGGGGGCTAGCCCCCAGCAACTTGGAGTTCTTCAGCCTCCCCACGACCCAGGTCTGCAAAGCAAAAAGGAGAGCCTGGGGACAGCGGTCCGGTTATATCCGGCTGGGTGCACAGACATAATTTATAGGCATGGGCTATGCTGGGGTTTTTTAATTCCACATATGAAATAAGCCAGCTCTTGCAGAACAGAACCTGTGATCTTATAAACCTTCTGCTCTGGCCAACTAAGCCAGCTGAACTGAGTACACAATGTCATATGTCTTTGTAGCAAGACACACAAAGCACATTTTGCACCACACAACACCACACAGTGACCAACCACAGGTTTAATTTCCATAGAACATTTCATCACTTGTTCCGTCATATACCTTTCTGGCCAATATTTCTTGGATAGGGTAAGTGCACCTGTTCTAGAATATAGATAGACAGACATATGCACAGGTGGATAGAGATTGGTATATACATGCTGTAGATACAGATGGTCTAGGTATAATAGCTACCTCCCCCTTTTCCGCTTCCCTCCCTCTTCACCAGCCCCTCCCCTTTAGGCAGAAGCAGAAGAGAACCAACCACTTAGGAAAGAAAGCCCTAGAGGCCACAGAGGGACTGGAGGAGCAGAATGAGCATGTGCATTTTGAAAGCCTGTGAGAGCAGGTGTTTGGTCTCTTTTGTCAGTTCCGTTTGCTGTTGAATTTCCAGCAGCTAGAACAATGCCTGGCACGAAGTCAGTGCACAGTAAATACTTACACATGACACTGCCATCTCACACTGTAGAGGGAAGAAAGACATTACCTTCGGGGAGGTTGGAGACTGGTTGGAGCTGAATGCAAGAAATATTTTCATTTGCAAACAACTATGCATATGCAAACAGAGGTAAGGTAAATGCACATTTTTTAAAAAATCCTGATGGCGAAGGTTACCTAACAGAGACATTTAGACAACAGGAGCCTCAGAGAAAAAGGCTGGCAGCTCCACGATATCTAACCTCTCACGACCTTCAGAAAGAAGGTGCCGGGAAGGAAGGGGAGGGGTGCCCACAGACGCTCAGGGGCTACAGGCCTTGCCCAGCTCAGCCCACCTCACCGTGTCTCCAATCTTGAGTCCAACACAAGACTTGAGACCTGGGATGACCTCGTTGTTGAGACAGGTGGCATTGAAGGACAGAGACAACTCCTCAGGGAGGTCACGCACCTCCAACTCTACTTTAGAGCGGATTTTCTAAGCAGGGAGAAGCAAAAGAAGGTAAGGAGATGAGCTGAGAGGAACTAATTCCATCCCAAACAAATTCTATTGGGGGCCCCGGGATCCACCCTGGCAGTACCAGATGCTGAGGCCTGCCTAGAAGCTGCCAGAGGAGAAGACCCCTAGGAGTGTGTTTCTTACTACATTTTCTGCCCAAGACCTGCTTCTCTCTCTCTCTCCCTCTCTCTCTCTGCACTGGTGCCTGGGTGACTCTCGGTAAAATCTAAATCAGTTCCACCCTCCTGCAAGCCTCAAGGATGTGCTAAAAGGGAGTGCCAGTACTGGTCCCCTTGGAGAGTGGCCATTTTTACCAAATTTTTAACCAACCTCACCTTCCCCAGGGCTCAGCTTCCTCTCCTCCTTGCTGCTGGAGCCCTGTCCCTCACCCTGTCCTTCCTCCGATTTCAGGACTCTGTTCCTGCCTCACCACCCACCCCGCCCTCTTCTTCCCTTCCACCTCCTCTAAGCTCTTCACCCGTTGCCCCTAACACTCCTTGGCATTCCTTTCGGAGCCATTTCTCTCTCAGAAGGCTGCATTCCTCCCAGGGCCGGCCATCCGCGAGCCTCTAGAAAAATAAGAGGAATGGGGGCGCCTGGGTGGCTCAGTGGGTTAAAGCCTCTGCCTTTGGCTCAGGTCATAATCCCAGGGTTCTGGGATCGAGCTCCGTTCTGGGATCGAGCCCCTTGTCAGGCTCTCTGCTCAGCAGGGAGCCTGCTTCCCTTCCTCTCTCTGCCTGCCTCTCTGCCTACTTGTGATCTCTTTCTCTCTCTGTCAAATAAATAAATAAAATCTTAAAAAAAAAAAAAAAGAAAAGAAAAATAAGAGGAAGTCCAGGAAGGCTGCATGGTGGGCTAGCATCCAGGACTCCCAAATCTGAACCCTCCTGGGTCATGCCAAGCGAGGTGGATTCCTAGCAGGCCTATTCCCAGCGCAAGACACTTACGCCATACGCATCAACAATGAGCTGAAGGACATTGCTGGAGTTGGCAGACAGAATCCCCACTGTGGTCCCTGGGATGAGCTCGCTGTAGTTCTAGGAAGACAAAGGATGTGCAAGGCTGACTGAATGAAGAGGAGGGTGGTTTCCCTGGTGGTTTCCAAAGGCCTCCCCAAATCAGACTGAGGGTCTTGAAATGAAGATTGAGGGAACAAAGGGGTATTTTACTTGTTACTGCCAGTAATAAACCTAGCAGTTTTTCAGCCCTGAATAAAATAAAATAAAATAAATAAAATTTTAAAAATAAAAATAAATTAATTAATTAAATTAAATAAATATTTTTAACAAATAAAAAAAATAAAAACAAGGAACTTCTCATACCCCTCAACCCCACCAAATGACTCCCCTCTGGTTCTGCAAACACCAGCACACCCGTTCTGCTAGGTTCAAAGTTGGGGGAGAGAAACAATAAGAAGGAATGACTAGCTCCTGGGAGTAGGCTGGAGGAGGGTTTTTCCAGGTTAGGGACAAGGGCCCATGGTAGGACACGCTGGGTCCCCAAGACAGTTCTACCCATCATCACAAGCCACACTCTGGGCAACCCTGGGGGCATAGTCACCTGGTAGAGATTGACTACATTTGCAGTTACTGCAAAGATCAAATTGATGTTTTTCTGGGATAGCTTCTCAGTCATCAGCCCCAGAGAGGGATAATCCTGTAAGAAGGGAGGACATGGAGGTCGGTTAAGAATTCACCTCTATTCACATACATCCCTGGATCCTACACCTTAGACCTCGGCTGATTTGGGCCGTGGCCCACACAGTGGTGGTGCTTACACGTTTCCACCCCACGATCAGTGTGAGCCAAGGGAGCAAGGAGCAACACAAACCCAGCTGTGAACTCCAGGAACAGATGAAGAGGCAGAGGCTGGTGGTGTCAAAACCAAGCAGCTCTTTCTTGCCGCTAGACTTCAGTGCGTTCACACCAAGAAGCAGCTTCCACGAGCCAGGTACTGTCAGGCCTCATTTTGTTTTCCATCAGCTCATTTAACAAACATTTATTGAATGACAGATATATTATAGTCTCTGCCGCCAGGGAGCTCCTGGTCTGGTGCGGACGACAGGTACATACAACTACAAAACAAAGCCAAGATCCAAAGCGTGGCATCTCAGGGTGATGCTGGGGATCAGAGGAGAGGGGTGGGTGAGGGGCAGGAAGTAAGGAGGGAGCAGCAAAGCGGAACTCGGAATCTTCCTACCCCTCGATCCCTGTCCCACATGTGTCAGGCTTCATTGTGAAGTTTCCTCGTTCTGTAGCCACTGACAAATGCCTCTGCCTGGCGTGTGCTTCCTCGTGGTGGTCTCAGCCTTCCTTGCCGATCAGCATTCACGTCTCTCCCTCTTGCACTTACCACTGAGTCAGCCCACTCTTTGTCCCCCATGGAGTGGTCTTCTTTTTGGTAATCCTTCTCCTTCCTTAGGACCCAGCTCAGGTTCCACCTTCTCTGGGAGGCCTTCCTTGGCCATCCCACTTCATGTTGAGCGTTCCTCCTCTGGATCTCTAAAGCCCTTATAGATTGTGCTATCCCTTTAGCGATAACCACGTGTCTTGCATTCTTGGTAGCACATCTCCTCAACTAAACCAAAAAGGGGGGGGACCTTCCATTGTCCCTTTATCTCCTTCAGCCCCTGGGAAGCTGCCTTGCCTAGAGTAGGTGTCAGTGATTACTACTGACTCATCTAATGCCTGGCAGTGCCCGACTTAGACATGGCTGACACCGAGGAACTCAATTCACAATGGATGCTGGTGAATCATGAACAAGTCCCTGGGAACCCTAGGCCTTGCAGGATCATCCAGCTCAGACTCCTCCCTTTACACAGGTGTACCATTAAGCCACCTAGACAAGGAGCTGCTGTATTGTCTTTAAGAGATGAAGAGTTCACACCTACCCCCAAATATCCAGGGTATCAGTACTCTGAAGGTCTTACATTTCTTGGTGGCTTACAGCAATTAAACTCCCTTCCTCTTATTTGACCCTCTAAGGCCATAGAAAATACCTTTCAGAAGCTTTCTCAGGTATCTGAGAAACTTTTTTGTTTCAAGCTAAGTGACTTGGACCCCTTCAACCTTTCCCCACGGGAACAGATCTCCATTCTTTTGATGATCTGTGTCTCTTTTTCCTCAGTCTTCTTCCAACAACCACAAGTCAGCATAGTATTCCAAGAAAAGGATGATCTGTACACAGAAGATAGGAAGGCCTGCCTTTGGGTCCATCCTGGATGCCATAATGCTATTGGTGGTGCTGGAGGCAGTGGAGGTGGTGGCAGCAGTGACCCCAGCCAGGACCACTTACAATGGCTGTGCCATCTGTCCCCTGGATGAGGATGTCCAGTTGCTATGAGAGGCAGTGGAAGGAAAGCCCGAAACAAGGCCCACGCCCTGCCCCGGGGAAGGGCTGCCATTTTCATAGTCACACAAAGGCTCTGCCTGGGTTAGGGCAGCCCTGACCACAGTGAATTGGGACCACAGGTGGTACCAAGAATCTCACCATGGTAGTGGAGGCAGAGTAGTGGTTGTCACTGCCAATGTGACACTGCCCATCATTGGGCTGGACAATGCCTGCCAGCCTTCCATCCAGCGCTATATGGGTCTTGGCATCAGTGGTAAACACCAGCAAGTGGGATGCATCGGTCCTCCAGCCAATCTTCTCCTGTTAAAAAAAAAAAAAAGCAAAAGAGAGAAAGCAACTTTAGCCATGTCATTGATAGACGGCAAAGACCCAAAGACTTCCACTCCTGAAGGGCTGAGTAAGTCATCTTAAGAAGGGCTTCAGTCCCAGACCCCTGGAACACAAGCTGGAGCTTTTCCAGTTCGAGGGTTTCTGTTCTCTTAGGAAAGGAGTCTCAGCTGATTAGTTCAAGAAGCTGAAAGATGCCTACTTCAACTCCAAATATAACTTTTCCAACGATAATCACATGGCCTGTCTAGAAACCCACCTGCACCGGCAGAGCTGGGCGGGGCTAACGAACTCCCATTGAACATCTGCCCACATTGCTTAGGTTAAGTCCACCCAGCCTCGACTCTGATACACTCCTAGAGAAGGCAGGATGATGCTCTCCCCAGAAAACATCCGGCATCACTGAGGTTCAAAAACATGTCAGCTCTGGCCAGGGGTTGATACAAACAAAGGGTGCCTATCAGGAGAAACTTCTTGCTCATGCTGTACAAAACTTGGCTTGGTTCTTCTTCTTTCACATCCATATCCCCACAGTTGAACCACTTCCTTCCCCCATTTTAATCTGTGCCAACCACACCAGGTGCTCTGTGCCCTCCAAACTCACGTCACAGACTGTAGCCTGCATGATGGCATCAAAGCCACCCTCTGGGGCATCTCGGTTCCGCGACACATTCTGCTTCTTCACCTCCTCATTGAAGCGGGTCACCTGGTCAGTTAGCGTCAACACATGTTTGTAGCCAAACATAGGCAAACAGGTGGTCTTCATGCTGGGGAGGAAGGAGGTTAGTTTAAGCAGATATCCTGACGGAAAAGGTGACGTGGGGAGTGAGAGGGACAGAGAGGGAGGCAAACACAGCGAGCACACTGCCCAGGCTAATCCTACACAACCACAATTAACCAGACAGTTCAGACCCCAAGCCCCTCCTATCACCTGAGCCATCACGTTGGCTTTCCCTCCAGCTAGCCTAGAAGGTAAGACAGTGAGTTGTGGAAACAGACTGTCTGGGTTCAAGTCCCAGTTCCCAGTCATGGGACTGTAGACAAGCTTCTCTATAAAAATGATGACATGATTAGTCCTAAGAGCTGTATGAGGCTTAAAGGAACTAATTTATGTAAAGCCTTTATACCAGAGTGAGGCTCTAGTCATTGCTATCACCTTGGGCTTAACACTTCTCCAAAATAACATTAACACAATGGTAAGTTCATCAAGAACTTAATGTCCATGAACAATCAACATATGGATAGATCTGTGCTGGACGGGAGGCTTTCTGTGCCCAGCCCAGTGGCTTGTGTAACTGATGGCTGACAGCTTTACTGGGGAAACTTTACAATACAGATGGGTTGAAAGGGTACATCATATAATTCTGAAAACTAAAAAGTAAATTTGTGTATTGTCAGGCTCAATAGCCACCATTTTAAGTTATTATACTCTGTGGATTTTATAGTCCCCACCAATTAAATAATAAGCCATTCATTCACTCGTAAGCCAAAGTGAGAACAGAGGCACACTTAACAATTTTTGAATCTATTAGAAGTTTCAATAAATAACATTTCTACTCTTTTTTATTTTCCTCTAGGACATAATTCCTCACATTTTAACTCTGTTAGACTCACACTCTTGATGATGAGGAGGACAAGGGACTCAATCCTTCTGAACTCATAATTCCTCTATTTACTTTTCCATAAATTTCTACTTTTTATCTCATTTCCCTCCCATTCTCTCTTATCTCCTACTTCTTTGTGACCAAGACAAGAAGGTGACTAGTTCTCTTTCTGGAAATTCTCCACCCTTTCTAAATGCCCATGTGCCTAATCCTGGGGGTGCCAAGGGTCACAGAGGTTTTGGTAGTTTCTAACATTCCAAACAGTCTTGGATTCTACTGACATAGCACTCCAGACCCACAGGCCAGCTCACTTGCCAGACAGGAAGCCCAAGGTAGAAAGGAGATATGATTTGGCCAGATGGCAGCAACAAAGCGATCCTAGAGCTCGAAACAGGAAGCAGGACTTGGACCAGCCTGGGACAAAGGGGAGGGATGCTGGCCCAGCTTCTACAGGAGGAACTTACTCATAGCAGGGGTTTTTGAGGGCCTCTGGTGGAGAGATGAACATGTATGGTGACACGGGCTTGTCCACGAAAGCCCCAAAGCCAATCCGCAAGTTACTGGTGAGCTTGTGCATCTGGGAGGCCAGCTTGGTGCCTAGGTTCTGGATGCTTGAAAGATCGTCCATCATGGAGAAAGACAGATCCATCAAGTAGTAGATGTCCACAGGGTAATCCTCCACTTGCCGGACTTGGATGGAGAAAATCTTTGAATCATCTGGAAGCCAAGGGGATGTTAGTTTTTCTCCTTTTTCTCCCTCTAAGACTTCATAAGTGGGTTTGGACATAGCTGAGATTAAGTAGCTTCTCAATCAAATCAAACTTGAAAGCCTTCTTCTCTCTCTTTGCAATTCTGTTCCTCTTCCAATCGCTTGATCCTATGATTTTTTTTTAATCTCTCTCTCTTTTATTTTCCTGTTCTACAATTCTCTTTCCTTTCTAAATGCCCATCTGTCTAACCCTCTGGGTATCAAGGTTCATAGTGATTACACTTCAGATGCTGTAAAAGGCAGGAACTCTGTCCCAGCCTTCTCTGAATCCCAGAGCTCCCAACAGAGGCCTTGCAGAAAGAAGGGACTTGCTTAAATCTTCTTGAAACAACAGAAAAGTCTAAATCAATGCTTTAAAATGCTTGTCTCGTAGCCTAATCCTTCCTCCCCTGACAGTCTCCTGTCCCTGTATTCTCTGCCCCAGTGCCTCTGCCCCAATCCCACCCGGAAAGTGGGCTTACAACACCATATTACTTTCTCATCTTCTATCTCATTCAATCCTCAACACAAAGCTATCAATTAGATAAAACAGCCATTGGGGGAAAGAAGAAATAAACATTTTATTGAGTTCCTACTATGTTAGAAGGATTAAGTAGCTTGACCAAGGTCAAACGGCTAATCTATGGGATAGTTAAAATTCAAACTCAGATCTTCTGATTTGGGGTTCCAACACCTTCCATTTTTCTACATTCTCTGGCCCACACCACACCCAACACCCATCCTTCTCTTCCCATACCATTTCCATTGCAAGCTACGTCCCCAAAGTTCAGGTCTCCCCCTTGTGCCCTCTTCCCATCTGCCCAAGGTCTCTCCCTGAAAAGAGCCCCTTCCCTACCTGGCCGTAGCCGGACAGCGATCCTCTGAGGGCTGACTTGAGTAATCTGGGAGCTGTCTCCAGAGCCCTTGTCACTGAGCGGCCTGGCCTCCAGGATGTGGACCTCACTGATGGGGAACTCGATGGACTCCTGGGCACAGTTATCTTTCAGCAGATTCTCCTTCAGGTTACAGCGGGGAGTGCCCAGAGGCAGGGCCTGTAAGACAGGAGCCCAAGTGAAGCCCTGTGGTCCAAGCTATGTGGCTCTCTTCCTCCTTCCTGCAGGCTTGGCTGACTCCCAATAGCCTTGAGCTTAACCAGCCCTCTGGAGCTAAACCGGCAAAAATGAACTCGGGTGATCCATCCTAAGATAGCCCATTGTATAGAAGGGAGAAACTGAGGCACCAGAAAGGTTGGGCGAATACCTGTTTGTGGATTGGTAGCTAGGAAGAGGGCCAGTATTGCAAGCTACCTATTAGACCAGCAGTTTTCAAACTGAAAGGCAACCCACATGTGGGTCCCCAAAATCAGTGTAGAGGATCTCAGCCACCAAATTATTCAATAAAATGCAATTGAATAGAATAGAAGTATCAACACATATAAATAGTAAAAGTAAATATTATTTCGTAAATGTTTATATATTGGCAGTTGGGTATAATACACAATGATATAAATGCATTTCTTTCCCTAGGTCAGGGTCAAAATAGATTGGAAGCCAATGGGTTAAGACACTGGCTGGGGTGTGAGATCCCAAGGGTAGGGGCTGTCCCTTCTCTCTTCCCAGCCCCCACCCCAGGAGACACCACAAAGGTGGGAGGGGGAAACAAGGACAGGGGCAGCAGAGATGGGGCTAAGAGCACAGGAGAAGACTGGCAGAGACTACATCTCAGCACTGCCTCTTGCTAGCCGGTTCCCAGGGCACGTCACCGAAGCTCTCCATGCCTCGCTTCCTCAGTTCTAACGGGAAGACAATAAAGCCCCCACTCACAGGACTAAATAAGACAATGCATATAAAGATTTATCGATTTATTATTTGAGAGACAGTGCATGGGGGGAGGGGCAGAGGGAAAGAGCCTCCCGTAGATTCCCCACCAAGGGCAGCTCAGCGCTCCATCCCAGGACCCTGAGATCATGACCTGAGCCAAAATCAAGAGTCGGCCACTCAGCGGACAGTGCCACCCAGGCACCCCAAGACAACGCACATAAAACCCATAGTATAGTGCCTGTTGCAGGATAAGTGCTCAATAAATAAAAGCTGTTGTTAGGAGACACTCCAGAAATAGCTCCTGGATAAGTTAGTTATGAATAAACCCCACAAGCTTGGGCAAATCCCATGATGCCATGCACTGACCAGAGCCTAGCCCATCACTCCGCTTTAAGCTTCCTCTCTCGCTGTGGACACAGGGCAAGTGGAGCACGCTTCTGGACACACTGGTGTATATTCCACGGCTCTCTGGAGCTCTGTGTGTGTCCACACCTGAGTACTGAGTTGGGAGTTGGGAGGGGGGCCACACTGCACTGAAAGAAATCCGAAAACAGGCTCCACCCTGGGTCTACCACTAGCTAGCCTTGTGCCTTCAGACTTGTTACTTCAGCCCTCTGAAGGCTCTCTCACCTGCTGGGTAAGGGGGTTAGGCGACATGACGTTTTCAGCCCCTCCCCACTCTGATGTCCAGCACCTTGAGCCAGTGCTGTGTGGGCGCTAGTCCGTGACAGCTCCTTCCTTGCCAGGTTGGGGGGACTGGCCAGAAAGCTGGAAAACTCTTCCCTGGGCCTGTTTCACAACATTTGGGCCTTCAGGCTCTCAATTGTCACCTCCATCCCTACTTACTCTCTTTCACAACCGTTTCCAGAAGTCAGTCAAAAAACCCATACCCGGGGCGCCTGGGTGGCTCAGTGGGTTAAGCCTCTGCCTTCGGCTCGGGTCGTGGTCTCAGGGTCCTGGGATCAGGTCCCACATCGGGCTCTCTGCTTAGTAGGGAGCCTGCTTCCTCCTCTCTCTGTCTCTCTCTCTGCTTGCCTCTTTGCCTACTTGTGATCTCTGTCTGTCAAATAAATAAATAAAATCTTTAAAAAAAAAAAAACCCATACCCATATCCCAGGAAAACTGGTGGGTTTTTTTTTTTTTTAAGATATTACTTATCAGAGAATGAGAATATGACTGAGAGACAGCACGAGCAGGGGGAGCAGCAGGCAGAGGGAGAAGCAGCTCCCCGCTGAGCAAGGAGCCCGATGAAGGATTTGATTCCAGGACCTCAGCTCATGAGCTGAGCCAAGCAGATGCCCCAAAACTGGTGTTAACATTTACTGAGAACTCACTGCATGTCAGCCTCTGTGGAAAGCGCTTTAGGCGGGATCCTGCAAACCTCCCACTAATGGCTCTCTCACGCTGGAACTACGATTATTACTATTTTACAAGCAGAAAAACTTGAGGCTTGGAGACTTCACAAATGAGAAAGCCCATCTTACAAGAAAGAAATCTAAGGCTTGGAGAAGTTAAGTAACTTGCCCAAAGTTCCAGCACTAAGAATGGCAGAAGAGAGGGGTTAACTGGATTGTGTGACTGAAATGATCTTCGCAAAATGATAGTTTGTATTAAATGCTGTGTAGAGTGAGAATCGAGGCAGAGAAGCAGAAGTATGCAAGCGATGGTCCCAGAAAGACCACACCTGAGAATGCCCAGGTAGGGAAGAGAAGGGAAGATAGGGTTGTGGAAGGTGTGGGAAGGACAGGTCATGTTCTGCCGCCTTAGCCCCTGCAGGTGACTGGTAGCCATATTTCCAGGGGTGGGATTTGGCCACAAGGAACCACCCATGCTCATAAACTCCGGACTCTCAGCCTTAAAACCCTCCTGATACTCAAAGTCACTCTCCCTCTCGTGCTCAGCCCTCGTCTAATGGGCTGAAAGTCTTCCCCAGGTGGGTGGGAACAGGAAAACCAACAGTGCTATAGACTGTTAAACCCCAACCCCCAAGATAGTAGGAGGTAAGACATTGGGAGGTGATTAGGTCTTAAGGTGGAGCCCTCATGATGGGATTGGTGCCCTTAGAAAAGAGATCCCAGGGGCGCCTGGGTGGCTCGTGGGTTAAGCCTCTGCCTTCAGCTTGGGTCAATGTCTCAGGTCCTGGGATCGAGCCCCACATTGGGCTCTCTGCTCAGCAGGGAGCCTGCTTTCCCCCTTTCTCTGCCTGCCTCTCTGCCTACTTGTGATCTCTCTCTCTGTCAAATAAATAAATAAAATCTAAAAAGAAAGGAAGGAAGGAAGGAAGGAAGGAAGGAAGGAAGGAAGGAAGGAAGGAAAGAGATCCCAGAATCCCAGAGAGCTCCTCGGTCCCTTCTGCCACATCATAGCAACAAGACAGGCACTATGACACAAAATTGTCTGCTTCCTTGATCTTGGACTGCTCAGCTTCTAGAACTGTGGAAAATAAACATTTGTCCTCAAACCACCCGGTTTATGGTATTTTTGTTATAGCAGCCCGAATAGACTAAGACAAACAGCATGAGGACTCTCCTTGCCCTGGGCAAAGAAGTTTCTGGAAGCCAGCAGCTTCCTTCTTTCCCACTCAGCTTCACGAGTGGGATGTGGATAAACGGCGTCAGCCGTGGGAAACAGTGCCTAAGGGTTAATCTTCTCAGCTCAAAAGATTCCAGTGGGAATATCACCGATTTCCACGTCTCCAAGAGAAATGAAAATGCCCTCTCTGCTCCCAGCCCTGGCCAAGGACAGAAAGGCAGGGGGAGAACTTGAGGGCCCTCAGAGTTTTTGCACCAGAACTCCTCTTGCTGACCCTGCATGGCTCTCCCAACCCTTCTGCCTCAGGAAGCAGTGTCCTGCTCATAGCACTCCCTACCTTATCTCTAATTCCAGCTGCCCACAAAGCCCCGGGGAGAAAACCTCCCAAAAAAGGCAATGATTGGCTAGACCAAGAAACACAGAGGAGCTGATCCTTTCCAGGACTAAGACAGAGGCTGAAGGAGAGAAGGAAGGGGAGGCCAGGAAGCTGAATGAGAGCAGCAAGGCCATTGTGTATCTTTAAGCTGCCTCAGCCAAGGGAGAGAATATTCTATCTAGAAGGGGTTTCCTGACTCCCTGCTTTCCAACATGACAGTACTTATTGCAAGAAAGTTTGAAGTGCTAAGCCCTGCTGACAGTCCTTATGGTTTGTTATGAATTTCTCAGAAATATAAACACTAAGAAACAAAACTGTTTCCCTCCCTCCTCTATGGTCAATGACATCAGAGGTCAGGAACATAACAGGCCTGCTCTGCAGTCACGCTCTCCCCTGAGAGCCTTCTGTCCCAGAAGGATACCAAGGCAGTGACCTCAACACGCTTAGGCAACATTCCCTTCCTTAATAACCCAGACTGGGAAGGTAGAGGATTGTCTCTAGGTTACTCAGAGAAACAACGGGAAGGAGGGAGGAGGAATGTTAAAGTCCCAGTTCCCAGTAAAACCGGATGTGACACAAGAAAGGGCAGAAATAACCAAGACCCGGGGGAGGCTCCTGAGTACAGAGGCGGAAGGTTCCAGCCCACGCATGGTGTGAGCTGAATCCTCTGCCTCTCCCGGGAGAGTGATGCATGCTATTAGTCCCATTCTCTATTCATCCCATTTTGGATACTGGGAAAGTAAAGCATGAAAAACTCATTACCATACCTATTTCACAGGCTCGGTCGGGGGGCGTCAAAGAAGACTGTGAACATGAAATGCTTTCAAAATATGAAAAATCTGGATACAAGTGAAATATACTCAAATCCTTTTGATAGGATATAAACAAATAAATGCATATAGAAGATGACTCTTTTCTACTATGACCATTAGAATTACTACTATTATTCCATTTCTCTTTTCTCAGAGGACAAGGCAGAATAGGGCCCGCTACTTAGTTTTTCCACCCAGAGAGCCATCAAATGCCTCCAACCAAAATAAATTAACATTGTTTTCTTGATGGGACAGCCAGTGAGGATAGAAATCACTAGAGCATACAGAGAAGTGTGGAAGGGACAAAGAGAAGGAAAGGAAAAGAAAAGCACTTCGATTTGTGGTTATTGGTATCCATACCCCCTTGTTTATGGGGAGGGGGGCACTTTCAATGATATATTTTTATTTTTACAATAACAAGTTGAGCAAAACATTTAAACTCTGGATAAGAAAAATAGAAAGAAAAAGCAGCAAAGAAGTGAGAACAAAATTATGTTGTCTAGAGAAGTAACTAAATAATGGCCTCACACCTGTCCCCCATAGATGCAGAGAAGAAGTAAGTCACTCATATTGGAGTTTTCTAGTTGGCTAGACCCAAACCCATTCTTCGCTTATCGTTGGCTGTCAGGCTGAGTGTGAGCTGGCCCGCCTTCTGATGTGTCCTCAGGACTATGTAAGAATTCCGAGCATTTCCTTTCATCTTAGAGTCACTGAATTTAGTCAATATTTGGGACATACTTATATAAAAAATTACTTGTTTAATTCAAATTTAACTGGGTGTCATGTATTTTATCTAGCTGCCTTAACTTCACTTCCACCATGACCCCATGATTAGCCCTTTTGATCAGCGGTATTTGCCAAATTTACTATCATAACAACCCATTCCAATGCAAAAGGTCTGGGATCCAACCTGGGAAACTTTCTATTTAACCAGCACCCCAGGTGATTCTTAGAACCAGGCAAGTTTGGAGGGTTCTAGATTCCAACATGGGGGCCAGTGAAACCATGAGTTGAATCTCTGTGTGATCTTGGCCTCTTTGCTACTTTCACAGCCCAGAAGCAGCACACCACCCCCACCCATATCAGTATGCAACCCCCCTCCCCAAGAACACACCCTATGCAGATGGGCCCAAAACTGCACTCATCCACTTTGGCTATGTTTTCCTCTTACCGGGCCAAGCCCTTGCTATACACACCCAGAGCTGCTGTCCTCTAGGACCAAAGGAAAGCTGAGCCCAACCAGTTGTTTTTCCAGGCACTGCCAACCCTGCCTGCACCGCCACCATAGGGAAGGCAAAAGCAGAGGGCCCTCTAGGGTCAGTTATTCAACAAGTCACATTCAAAATGGCCCAACCGGTTCACTTCTGTTTTTTTAAGTCAACAGCCAAGACACTTTCAGCAGTTAAACTTGGCCTGTGCAGGGGAAGCCCTCAGGAAAACATACACATACACACAAAGCGGTCATGTTCAGGTTACAGCCCGGGATTCCCACCTCCCACTCCTCCCCAGAGGAGGCTGGCTGACATGCTTTGCCCCACACTGAGCTCCTCCGCTATCTCTCCTTCCCTCCTCCTCCTTTCCCAGAGGATAGTTGTAGTCCTTCACTAAACTCTTGGCTTCCCCCATTTTCCTGTTTATACTCCATACTCCCAGAGATATCGGGCCTTCTACTTCTACTTCTAGTCATCAGTTTTCTTTGGTCCATGATGTACTCATTTCCTCCCTGATTCACCCCACCCCCTCCCCACCATTCCCAGGCAGGTCTTACCTTATGCTTTGATCCTACCCTGCACCTTCTCCCCCTGTCCTCCCCTGGTCTGCCCCAGGGGACAAAATTTGCCTTGGTCATCCATAAATACTCTACACTTGTCCTTCCCAAATCTGGTCACATGAACAATGGGCTTTGTCTGGTTGGGCCTCCACACACCTCAGCTACAGGGCTGGTCCCTGTGCTGATCAAAAGGGGTGACAGACACTCCAAGAGTATGTTTTCTTTTTCCCCAAACTCTTCCCAGCCACACTCGCCTGCCTTTTCTCTCTCTCTGGGTTGAAAAGGAGAGAAAAGGAACGGACAGCATCCTCGGAGTGACATTAGGGCTTCCTTCCTGGCTACCCATCTGTTCCAGCCAGCTTCAGGCCATCGCATCCAAGATGCTCTCCCTCCTTCGAGGATGCAGTTACAGAATTCCAACTTCCTTACAAAAGCAGTTTAACAATATTATGATGGCAACGGAGGGAAGGAGGATATGGCAACTGAGAAGGGAGGAGGCCGTATCACACTTGAGCCGCCAGCTCAGCCCAGAGGGGTGGAGAACATTTGGGGGTGGAGGGGAAAGATTCACCCACTCCCTCCCCACCCCTCACTCCCAGCCCCAGGGAACGTTTCATTTGCTAAATGAAGTCAGTGTGGCCCAGATGTTGGGCAGCTGCCTCTGGAAGGAGTTCCCGTGCAACCGTATAGAGGCAACGTAGAGTGTTGGGCTGGCCTCCGCAGTTCTGGCAATCCTCCTGCCTAGGGATAAACACAGCCTCCCAGCTCCCATTCCCTAACCCCCCCAACACCCCCACCAGCCTACCAGGGTGGTTGCCTTTTTAGGAAACTCAGCAGATTGGGAAGAGAAGCAAAGAGAATGAGGAGGCTGGATTGGAGCAGTCCTAAAACTGCAGAGAGCAGAGACTTGCTGTTGTGACCCAGAGGACACCCAGGTAGCCCAGAAGCAGCCTGGGACAGGAGTTCAGGTAATCACCTGCTGGGGGCCTGGCCAATGACTCAGCCTCAGACTCTGTAATCACTGGAATCTCTCCAGCCACACTCACTGCCCCCCCCCCCCCCCGGGGCCCTCACCAGCTCCAAATTCCCAACTCAGCCACAAACAGCCATTCCCTCAGACACACTCATTCCCCAGGGCCCCAGACACAACAAACTCTCTGCCTAGACACATCTAACCCCTTCCTGTCACCCTCCTACCCTCACCAAATTGGCCCAGCACCTTCTCTCATTGACACCTAAGAGAGGGAAGGAAGGAGGAAAATAAAAGAAAGAGAGAGGAAGAGATAAAGTTGTGGGGACCCAAACTTCACAGGAGAAAAGGGAAGAGATCCTCTGACTGAACATCGCACCCCCGCACCCCACCCGCCAAGTGCAAGATTTCTCTTTTATTTGCCTTTTAAAAGTTCAGGGATGGGGGCGCCTGGGTGGCTCAGTGGGTTAAAGCCTCTGCCTTCCCCCTCAGGTCATGATCCCAGGGTCCTGGGATTGAGCCCCACATCGGGCTCTCTGCTTGGTGGGGAGCCTGCTTTCCCCTCTCTCTCTGCCTGCTGCTCTGCCTACTTGTGATCTCTGTCTGTCAAATAAATAAATAAAATCTTAAAAAAAAAATAACAGTTCAGGGATGTTTGTAAGTCAGCATCCCTTCTATACCAAGAACCCTCTGCTAACTCTCTTTTTGATACCTTAAGCCCTGCTTCCCTGGGGTGCTCCACCCCAACAAAAAGTAAGTGAAGTGTGGTACAAAGAGACAATGGCTACAGTGAGACCAAGAACCTAACCAAATTGGCTCATGTTAGGGCGACACACAGAAGAATCTGGATGGCATTCCCAGCAACAACCCCATAACAGCTCCCTTTGAAATCCATCAATGGGAAGGCTTCACCCTATCTTTGCTCAGAAGGGACAAGAGACAAGAGATGCCCCTCTGAGTCCATTTCTGCACAAAAGCAGCTGAGCCTGGGGGAGAAATCAAATCAGATGTCTTCTCCTTACCTCATCTGAGCACCAGGCACACACAGGACTCACAGCCAGACACTGCTGGCAGGAACGGACGCCTCGTGTGGTACAGATGTTGGACACTGCAACAGAGACAAAGACATTAGCACCCAGCTTGGCATGACAGGGTAACTGGCCTGCCCCATCCTTCCCAACTTCCCCAAACACCCAGATTTATAGCTCTCAGATGCACACAGCAGGTCTAACCATACCACAGACATTCACCAATCACAGGCTGTATGGTAAGGAAGAAAGAATGAGAAAGGTCAGAAGAAACTCATCACCACCCTCACTGATGAGGTCCCCGTGATAACAAGTGCTAGAGCAGGACTGAGCCCTGGACCCCAAGTGTCAAGTCATAACTGATGGAATGGCTTTAATTAACAACTGGTTTGACACCTACGTCGTGCCTAGGAAAATCTGAGGCCCAGGACAATGCAAAGTGCCCTCTCTCCAATTATTCTAGTGATCGCTTCACAGCCCCTACACAGGGATCCAAAGCCCTGATGCACTAACATGAGCACACATCCTAAATATGGTGGCAGGTAGGGGCGGGGAATGTTCGTTCCAATGGCCAGTGAGGACAAGGCAAATCTTCTGAAACCTGCTCAAGGTTCCCAGTATATTTATCTTCGGGTCAAGGTATAGAATGGTCCAGGGAGAACTCCAGAAATGTCAGAAAAGGCTGAATGAGATAAACTGGAAGAACATGGATTGGAGTTGAAAGGCCCATATTTTAAAAAAAAAAAAAGGCCAGTATTTGAATTCTGAGTCCTCTTTTTACTAGCTGCGTCATGACCTTGAGCAACTTGATTAACCTTTGTGAAAGGGTAATATTGATCTCACAGGACTTGTGCCCTTGGTACACTACTAAATGCCATTCAAATGTGAACAGTCTTCACACTGTCAAAGGACAGAGAAAAGGCTGGGGGACAGGAGTAGAGACAAAGGGGGACACCAAAATAACCCTAAGAGAAGCTTACCCAAGAAGCAAACCCTGGGCATTTGCTTGGACAGAAGCTCTCAGGCTTCCTGGGCTCAGCCAGGTAAACCTCCTCTTTCTGCCGTGTCCCCAGAAAGGTCTTTTTCAATATAAGGAACAGACTGAGGAAGAAACATTCCCCTTCATGATCCAGGCCATTCATCCAATTTTCTAAAGTGGTCCCTTTGTCCCCCAGCTGGTAAGACCAACAAATCAGCCTAATCAATGGGGTGTTTTTCCACTGTCCCCAAAACTTCTCATCAAGTTGAATGTCTCAGTCCATTTTACTATAGCGTGACTGAACTCCCTTCCAACATCTAGACAAAACATACCCAGAAAATGTGTGTGTATACACACAAACACACACACACACACACTATTGTCAAGAAAAAGTATCAAAAATTTGGAAATAGGCAAAGGAAATACCGGTGTCCTTTCAATATAATGCAAGATATTGACAAGTAGACCCACCATACTCTTGAATTACCTGATTTTCTAGGGGTGTATACCTTTGTTTGACTTCTACTGATTAGCGTATTTTATAACTCTATAAGGGTAGAGGTTAACTTGTAGAAAACTAGTAACAATGGAAACGATTCTTGATGAGAACAGTGTATATGATTCTTGTCCAACCGCAATGCAAATAACTTGATAGCAAAGGTAACCTTCTGAAGGTTAGGGTTCATTGCTTTGTAGAACATTAACCAATTTCAAAACTGTCAGATAATTGATTTCAACATTCCTTTGACTGAACAACTATAAATTTCCCTTCCCTGAATTTTCTAAAGATTTTTTTTAAGTTATCTCTCTCCCCAGTGTGGGGCTTGAGCTCTCAACCCCAAGATCAAGAGTCACACTCTACTGACTGAGCCAGCCAGGGTCCCCTCCCTTCCCTGAATTTTCTTTGAAACTAATCTTAACATCTTACTGCTTCCCTCATTAATTAAGTTGAATAAATACTTTGACACACATTCATGTTACATTTGTATGATAATCATACTTTTAACAGTGGACTCTTTAAACATTAGATTTTAACGCTGTCCATCTCAGGGCCTCGTTAGAGGGCAGAGGGATCTAACAGAAAGCGTAGATAGCCGATCAATAGACCGTGGTCCTCATTGAGTCACCCTTACTGATGTGGCCTTAGGCGAGTCATTTCACTACCCTCAGCCTGTTTTTCGCTTGACTCTTCCTAACATATTATAATGATTCGTCTATCTGTCTTAACAACACTGCCACCCAAAAGATTTTAAGCCCCTTGAGGCCTGCCCTGCCCTGCCCAGCCTGGGCCAGCCCCAAGTCCTTGCTCAAAGTAAATGCTCCATGAATATACATTGGAGCAAATGGAAAAGCATTGAACTAGATCAGTTTTGTTTTGTTCTTTAAGCAACAGAGCTCATGTCTCCATATTACCCATGGAATTCCAATATAAAACATGCAAATAAATGGGTTGAAACAGTTCCTCTGACAATTTAAACTTTCATTGTTCTCCTAAAAACACCAGAATCATATGTGGAATCCTGGAAGCCCTAGGCTTCCTCTGAGCTTGAGTCGGTCTCACTTCAAAGGCCCTTCCCGACTCCACAGTTCTGCAAGTGGGGTGCCGCTACCAGCCCATGAGTAACCCCTGAGCCCCGGCCTCTGACGTGACTACACTCTCACCCAGTGAGTGTGAGGACTGTGAAGTGGGAATGGTGGCAGCTGTTTTCCGCCTGGCTCTAAGGTTCCAAGGCCACCTCTGAGTTGGGGCAGCCCTCAGTCAGGCACTGTCTATCTAACATGGAAGAAAGGCAGCCAGTCTTCCTAGAGATGCTGGCTTCAGAAGCCCTCAGGGTTCAGAACCCACACGCACCCAGGAGGTCCCCCCTGCAAGGGCAGCCTGGCCATGTCTCAACTCCCAATGGCTCTTTTCCCAGCCAGATGTGAGCACAGCCCCCCCTTAATGCCTTACTGAAAGAGCTCTGAGAGGAGCAGAGCCTGAATTATTTTAGGTCTCTACCTCCCTCCTTAAGTTTTCATGGGAATTGGCATCCAGAGGGGTAATTCTGGACAGAAATGCCATCGATTTTCACTGGGGCAGTGGCAGTCAAGGGTGGGGGTGGGGGGTGAAGAAGCAGAAGGAGAGGTCAGGCAGAGTTAGAAGAGAGGACCATGGGAGGTATGGGCACATTGAATTATCTCTGCAAACTTGTTCCCAGACTCTCCATTTTTCCATCCATTCATTCTCAAATTAGCATCTATTTGCCTATGAGTTCTTGACTTGTAGCCACAATAGAAAGGCTTGCCAGATGGGAAATAAAAAACAGCCACCCACCCCCCCTCAGTGAATGGGCAGCCCCTGACCCCAGAGGATGAGACAGGCTGCTGGGATATGTTCTTTAGGAAGTCATGTCTGGGGAGTCATGCCAGCCAGTTCCCTTCACCTCCTCTCTCAGTGAATCACAGGTTGATTTCGTGAGAACCAGCCATTCCTCCCCCCCCCAACCTACGATACCCCCTACCAAGACCTGCCACCAAGGGCAGGTTCCCTGGATTGCAGTTTCTAAAAGGGACTGACTCATCAGAAGTCTCCACGCCTGGGCCATGCCAATTCAATGAGCTGCGGCTCTGAGGCCACCCCTCCCTCCTGAACATGTGGAAGGAGTTTGGGCCTCTGTTTCCAGTCATTCATAAGACTGTGTTCCTGCTTGGCCTCAGGGGCCCAGACTCAGCCGTGCTGGAGAAGGGAGATCCTCATCAGAACTTTTGTCCCTGAAAAGAATTAGCAACCCCCACCACCCATTTCCTCTGACAGGCTAGCCAGAGCCAGGAAACAAGGTGGATTGGCCCTGGTCCTTACAGGGTTGGCTGGAGGGATCCAATGAACAGATCCCTGTCAAACTCCAGGCACAAAGGGCGGGCACACAGGAAGGGCTCACTCTGGGTGGCTAATGCTTCTCCAGAAGCTCTCGTTGCTACTCTGTTTGCCCTCCCTCTTTTTATCCTGAGTCCCCCGCTTGCTGTTTGAGGCAGATGAATGTTTTCCTTTCTTCTCCATTTTTCTCTGAAGCCACCCCATTGTGCTGGTCATGATAGACACAGCTGAGCATGCGCTGAACAGGGCAGCGGTGGGAGCTGGAGCCAGAAAGCCCCAGATGACGGTGAAATGATCAGCTGTCGGATCTACCTTTTTTTTTTTTTTAAGATTTTATTTATTTATTTGACAGGCGGAAATCACAAGTAGGCAGAGAGAGAGAGAGGCAGGCAGAAAGAGAGAGGTGGAAGCAGGCTCCCTGCTGAGCAGAGAGCCCGATGCGTGGCTCGATCCCAGTCATGACCTGAGCCCAGGGCAGAGGCTTTAACCCACTGAGCCACCCAGGTGCCCCAGATCTACCTTTTAAATGGAGTAGGGAAGATCAGAGTTCCAAAATCCAACCTAGGAGGGTGGGCCAGGAAGAGGAGGCCCATTAGAAAATCTAGACGAGACCGCCAGCAAGTTTGCTTGGACAGCACAAGGGAAGGCTGTGGTTTGGCCCATCAGGCCGATTCACAGAACCAGAAGAAAGACAAAGGATGGGACAAATGGAGGGGAAAAAAAAGGGAACAAGGAAGGGAGTTGGAACAAGTGGAAGTCATAATGCGTCAATGAGAGCTATTTTGAGGACGTGCTGTCCAATGAGACAGGATGTCAGAAAGCAGGAACAGGCCACCCGAGTGAGGCCATGGAATTTCAGCAGCGCATTAAGTCAAGTGAAGAGGTGTTTAGTGGGAGGGGAGGTTGAGGCATACTGCGTATACTACGGACTACCTTCCTCTTTGCCAGAGAGCAGTTCTGGCCTGGGTCCCCAGCCGTCCCGCAGACCTTTAACTGGTCACTTCCCAATTAGGTCCACGGGGACACCAGGTGACTCAGGCCATGCCTGATCTTCCATTGCAGTCACCTGGCTGAGTGAGTCATCCAGAAACAAAACATCTCATGCTCACTGCCATATGGATTTACAAGTGGTTCCTGCAGGGCAGGCTGCTATGAAAATTTATTTTATTTTTGTTCCTTCATTATATGTAGCAGCAGCTCAGTAATCTAAGGAAGGGGAAGGACACGGGAGAAGTGGAGTTCAAGGT